GGTAGCCCATGGGCCCACACGGCCATCAACCACCAAGAATTGTCGAATTCCTGGTGTCAAGCCAGTCACTGCTGACGTGACCGGGGGGTGGCACCTTAAGGTCGCGAAGCCGCACCTGCCTGCGCAGCAGCGGCAGACAGAGCGGCTAGACCTGGGCCTATTGAACTCAGTGAGGAGAAATGTGGGGAGGGTGGATGTATCAGTTATGGCAATAGCAACCTTAGTAATAGCCATAGTAAATAGCAATAGTTTAATATATATATATATATATATATAGCAATAGTAATGTTATTTTTATAACACGGTAACCTATGGCTACACTATAATTACTGTATGTATCGTATCGTATGGGTATTTCTTCAATTCGAGGATCCCCAATAGCTGGATGATGCTGGATGGTTTATTTCATGGAAAATCCCAATCTAAAATTAGGATGATTTAGGGGTACCTCCATTTTAGGAGACATCCATATAGTAACCCATATAGTATATTGCAGTTAAAACAATATATAATAAACCACCTATTTGGGAATGATAACCATACCACCTAGAAAGATGGTGATTGTCTGGGGGATGGTTTATAATTGTTTTACCCACATCAGTCCCCTTGCATCATAGTAAACATAGTTATGAAATTTGCCAGAAGGTAACGTGAACAAGTTTATTGCTGGATTTACTGTATAGTGTTTCACTATGGCATTTTAGTAAACAGTGAAATACTATAGTCTGTAGTAAACTATAGTAATACTACGGTTTTTATAGCAATAATAACGCTATGTTAATATTATTCATATAGTAACATCGAATAATAGTGAACACAATGAATACCATTGTAACCTTGGATCACTGTGAGAATGAACAAAAATGTAGGAAGGTAAAATCCTAATAAGATAGTGAAGATTGTTTTTTCTATTTTATTGAGTTACCATATATTTGTCTCGCATAGTACATCTACATGTGCACAATTTGTATGGTCTTATCGATATTTTATAGATTACCATATAAGGAAGACTATTCCATGTATTAAATGTGCATACCCTCTGGTCATTTAACATAGCTATGGAAAATGGATGAAAATGGTTCATTTATTTTACCTCGTAAAAAATTGCGATTTCCGTTGTTATGTAATTTGCCAGAGGGTAACGGTAACCATTGATTTACTAAGCGGTTCTACTATATCTGAAATAGATTAGAATAGTATCAGTATGGAGAGAGAGAGAGAGAGAGTGTCAGTATTAGTTGTAATGAAATATGAATAGTAACCAATAACTCCTGGGCAGATTATAGTACTCCAATGTAGTCCATAAGTCTTTTGCCCTGATGATACAATATATTAAGTACTCCCAATAAGGGACCCCAAAATGAATCGATCTAGTACCAAACCAGAGTTTCGAGGAGGATGTTAATATTGAGATGCTGGGAGAAATAGTGTGAGTGGTAAACAGTTCACTGCAAATTTTTTTTGGGCAAGAAGTTCATTGGTTGATAGTCTGTAGATGAGTTGGTCATTGACCCGCAGAACATCTTGATTTATTGTGGCCAAGGTCCCCCTGTTTTGGCAGAGATTGGGGATGCCCTGTTTCGCCATCGCTGGAGGATTCCGAATTCGAACCTCATGGTGCAGCTACTGCGACCCAGCGTGCTTGGGGCTGTGATTCTGGTGTCTTCGCTGCCTGGTTGCAATCCGGTCGAAGCCAATGGGCACAACGACGGACAATTTACTGAGAACCATCCAAGTGAACAAACAGGATAACCATAAACTGATTTGGTTTGGGGTCAACCCAACGTTGGATGATTCCCTGCAAAATTAAAGATATTCAAGGACAATTAATTTCGTAGTTTGTTGGGCACACATATTGACCTTTTCCATCCTTTTCCCTTGTTCCCCTGTCAAAGGATTGGTGTAAGGGAAAACCTACAGGAAACCATAGGTGTTCCCATGAAATATGGGTTTTCCCTGTAAATTTTCCCTTAAACCAATCCATTGTTCCCCGTGTTTTGAACGTTTCGGCTTAGCTAAGGAAAGTGTTGATTTTCAACGAGACTTCTGTCCCTCTGGCCCTACGCTTTGACAGCGCCATCCCGTTGCAACTTGGCGCCGTCAAAGCGGTGGTGAGCCTCGGAGAGGTTTGCTGGCCAGAGGTTATATACGCATCACACAATATCACACACATATACCGTTTATATACTATATATAAAAATATAATAAATATTATATATATATACATACGCACAATTAAAGGGCCACTGAACAGAACTATCTCTAGACCGAGGTTATACCGGGGTTTGGCGTGTGTGTAAATATTTTTTTTTGCGTTTTTTATGGTCCAGGCGGGTGTTTTGAATGATCAAATTTGAACAATGTTACAGCTGGCAATTTGAAACTGTCAGCCATTATTCCCGATGATGTTTCAAATGAGGTCGTAGATTGTTGTAGGGTCTCCCAGTCTGTGGACATCCCAGTCTGTGGACATCCAACTTCGGAAAGGTGCATGGGATTCATTTTCACGACTTATCTCCCTATTTTCGTTGCTCAACACAGGTTTTCAACATGTTCTTGAAATCCTATTTTTCAGATCAGATCCTGTAAACTCTTAACTAAAATCATGTTAAATGCTTTTTTCAGCCAAAATTCCCATTTGAACTTTCCATTTCCAAAATATTTCAAACAAATTTCCAGCCCACTCGCCACCGGACCAGGGTGTGGACAAGCTGTGCTACCAGCGCTATCGTGGACGGCTCATCGCACCTGACGGAGTCCGACATCCGTCAGGGACAAACGCCAGGACGCCAGATGGATTGACTGGGAACTGGTTGCTGGATATAGATGATATACCCCCAAGATCCCCCAAACAATGGAAAGAGGAATTTGTTATGATTTGTTAGTATACCAGTATACAGTATACCACTATATAGTAGGTTTTATTGTTCTATCGTTTTTGGGTGTATGCTGTAGATGAACGATTCAAGACAAGAATGAGATTATAATAGACGATCACAAAGCTCGTTGTAAACCAAGACGAGTGAAGCGGTGAAGCGTGGTCAATGGGTTGGTTGAGTCATCTTTCTTGGCTGCCATGATGAGCCCACGATTAGTATATCATCTTGATAGATGTTGAGCCACGCGTTCCCCGTAACATTAAAAACTCCATGGTGTGGAAGTGCATCACCTGGCACCGATGAACAGCTATGGAAAGACGACGACTGAACCAGAGGCTGAGATATTATATTTTGATTCTATTTCATATTATTTCATATTATTTCATATTATTTCATACTATTTCATATTATTCCATATTATTTCATATTATTTCATATTATTTCATATTATTCCATATTATTTCATATTATTTCATATTATTTCATATTATTTCATATTATTTCATAGTATTTCATATTATTTCATATTTCCCATTGATATTTTCCATGGATAACTCATTAACCATACGTTACCCATAGGTTTTATATGGTTTAATCTTCAGTTTCGGCGAAATCGCCAGGCGCTGTTCCGTCCTGGCTGATGCCTGGAGCCTTTGCCAGCGTGCCACTGGAACTGCCCCAGCAGGACGAGGATGACGAGGATGATGAGGTCGGGAGCTGGTAAAATATGCTGAAGAAAATGAGGATTTTATTTTATAGGGATTTTATAAGTTTTTTTTCATGGGTTTTTTACAGCAACAGTTCGAATATCATGGCGATATGATGGGATAGCACACCCCACTGTTAAAAATAATGGTCATGTTAATGTTGTTTTTCTGGGATCTGGAAGGAGATTGCGGAAAGTCAAATGATCAGAATAGTTCAGATTTGAAAATCATCACCTTTCAGAGTAGTTTAAATATGTTTTCTTGGATGTACATCGGATGATGGTGTGGAATGCGGCGAGGAAAGCAACTTGGTCCCAAATGAGTTTGGCACTTTTGAGTCGCAAACCATTTGATTTCTGGGGCATATACACCTTGCATATATGTGTTATATATGACTTATATAACACACACATATAATATATATAACATTATATATATATTATATACATACAACACACATATTTAAATATAGTCATATATAGTTATATAAATATTTACATATATATATATTATAGTTATATTATATATAGTTTTATATAGGTAAATATATGTATGTATATATATATATTTATTTATTTATGTTATGTATTTATTTATTTAGCCAATCTCAAAGCATCATTTTGAGCCACGCTCTACTCTTGCGGTTCTACTCTTGACTTCTCCAGGGTGCGACCATCTGGGAAGTGATGATGAAGACCCAGCCCAACCAGTGGGGCAGAGCCTGCATCAACACCAGCAGCAGCTTCGCAGACATCCAGTGCCCGGGGCTGCGATCGCTGCGATTTTTGGGTGTTGGGTCGGGTGCCAATGGGCCAAGGCTGGCCATTTTAGTGACAAACCATGCATTTTTCTAAGTATTATTGTGTCTGGGGCTTCACAAGAACTTGAGACCACAAACCAGCCATAGTGAAGTTGCGCTATGACCCAATGTTTCGGTGTTTCGGGCAGTTTTCTTTTAACATGTGGCTTCATTGAAGGCACTTGATGGTCAGGGATGGCAAGGGAAACCACCCCGAGAGGCTTCGTTTGGTTACCAGCTATATTTTAAAAACATACATTTATAAATCAAGAATTGAAATTGATAATTGTATCTATAATTATCTAGTTTATTCTACTGTCTAAGGTTTCGAATGTATAAACAAACAAACAGTAACAAACATTAACCAACTGCACGATAGTGTTTATTCTAGTTTCTAGACCAATTTCCAACCAAATCTAATTCTGAGGAGCCTCCCTTGATTCCCTTGATTCTAATTTACCCAGATCTTTTTTGCACCAGGTGTGGGAATCATCACGTGCTGGCTGTGGTGGACTACAACCAATCTGCACCACCTGCCTGCGAAGAATGGCTGAGGATAAAGCTGCTACCTCCATTGCAACTCACCTCCTGCTTGCCTTGTGGCCTGGCTGATTGATGGCATCTTTAAAGATGTTCCGTCCAACCCGGACGTTGCTCCACCCTTACAATCATCATCATCATCCTCATCATCATCATCATCATTCTGGATTAAATATACATCTACATATTGAAAGTCCACCACCGACATGGCATTTCAAAAATACGCAACCTTTCCGCAAGTCCGGCGCGGAGCAACGTCAGGGTTTAACGTGGGAAAACCAAAAATAAATCAACCAAACTTGGGGATGGTAAACATACCACGAATAAAAATGGTGATGACTTGGGGATGGTTTTTGAAATTGTGTTTACAACATTAGTATGTGTATATATGTGTAAAAAAAATTGGTTCTTTGTAACCCCCGATAGGTTTTTGGACAAGTAAAATCATGTGAAATCATGTTTGTTGTTCTGGGGAGTTGTGGCTTTCCGTGGGGGCAATGGCAATGCTGAGGCGGCAGCTAAAGGGGTTAAAGCAAGTGATAATCTCCATCAATTTCCTGCCATATTTTTTTCCCGACGACCCACTGATGTCCATCACTGAGGCAAAGTTGAAGTGCAATACTACGGGCAGGATGAAGAAGCAGAGTCAGCACGTGAAGTGATTCTCTCTGAGACAGGCGAGGAAATATCCGAATGACCTCCAACTCACCAGTGATAGCCAGCTGATGTATGGGGAGACCCACAGCGGTAGCAAGTTTCCCAAGTACCCCAGGGGTTCGGAGGTGGTCAGGCTGCCATTCCCTTTGGTAATCTAAAGTTATGGACAGGCACCATTTTCAAACGGCCATCTATAAACGGCCATCCATAGCAAACTCTTGATTACCCTAGGGTGTTCATCCTCCATGTCGTGCCAAGTTCCTCCATATTCCTTCATTAACTGCAAGGTGGTGCCCGGTGATGTTTGTTGCTTTATAACGTTTATAATCCCATGCCCATCCCATAGTTATTTCATCACCAGAAACCCAAGTGAAATGTCTGTTATGAACCAACTTCGCCAAGCTAAATTCCACCCCCCCTTGAATACCCCATGAAAATTATAGATGAAATCCCATTCACTCACCATTTTTGGGGCGGCGCAGATACGGTGCAAATCTACGACCTCCCCTTCCCCCAGAGCGTCCGCCTTCGTGCGCGGATTTCGGGTGGCACCTGGTCCACTTGGGGATATCTGGAGCTGAACGAAGAGGCGGATTACGGCGAGGGTGGATTTGGGGCGCTGGGTCTCTTGACATGAATGATTTCCGTATTGGTATGGATACCCTCTGGTAATTTAACATAGCTATTGAAAATTACCATTTTCAATGGGTAAATCCACTATTTCTATGGCCATTTTCAATAGCTATGTCAGCCATTACCAGAGGGTATTATGGATCAAAATCAATGACTTGTGGGACCTCAATGATTTCCCATGACTTGGGTTTAGGATTCACCAATGATTGGGGGACTCAATTTTGACCCGTACCCATGTGACTGGGGCAATAAACATCCAGCTACACCAGCTATGACTTAGGGCACCATTGTGTGTATAATTAATGGATGATATTTGGGATATATAGAAACAACGAGCCTCTTACAATGGATGATAGGATGGTATATAAGAAATTTCAATGATCATCTATGGATTACCCCGTATATATATATATATATATAAAATAGGGATTTTGAACATCAACAATAGGCTAGGGATTGCAATAGGGAGAATGGGGATTAATCATTGCCATGGCGCCATGGCATAAATTCCCCTTATATTGTACGGTGCTTTTCCCAGAAAAACACCTCCATTTTTGTTGGGGATTTCGCATTGCCATGTTTGATTACCAGGGGTATCTGAAAATGTAAGATTTAAAGCCCAAAATGGCAACTTTGTTCTTTGGGAAAATGACGTTGAACCACTGGATTCAGGGGATGATATCTTATTGTTAGACAAACCCAAATGGATGAAAAACATGGATGAGTTTCATCCTGCAGGTATTTAATCATGCAGGCATAGATGCATGTAAATTGTAAAAGATGACCATTGAAATGCTTTCACAATGCAGGCAAATGCATGTAATTACATACTAAATCACGATCAAATTGCCCATTAGTGCTCCAACTTCGGCCCACGCTGTTTTTTTTTCCGTCTCTCAAGTTTCTTTGCTCAATGTCCCAGCCGGGATGGGTTTCCCATGTCAAAGTTCATCATAAATCAATGGAGCGTGCTTTTTGCCGCGGGGTCGTCTTAATTGGACTTCAAGTCACTTGTGAAGCACAAAGACCGAAACATGGTGACGTTCGTGATTGCAAACGCCACGGCATCAGTGTCATTTTCTTATGCATATCATATGCATTCATTTGCATTCATATGCATTCAATATATGGCCTCATATTCTGATTGCCCCTCCAACTTGGTTGGTGTAACATGGTGTAACATGGTGTAACACTAAGATCATTCCAAATGCCCGGTCGCTTTTGGTGGCGTCGCTTGGCCAGGACATTGGGGAACAGGATCGGATGATGAGTCGCTTAGAGGCCGAGATGCAGGTGGAACCCCCTGATGCGGGCGAGTTCACCTTCGCCTTGCTGGACAAAGGGAACGGAAAGGCCTGGGACAGCGGTGCCACCTGGGAGGTGCTGGGATTCTCCATGTGGGGGAATTTTATAGCGTTAAGGTGTTGAAATTACATACATTTGGGGATCATTTGGAGCTTGTTTTCTGCTTTGCTATCTATTTAATGATTTTAATGGTGGGTGGTGAGATCGGGGATGGTTTTTCATTGGCCACATTTGGTATCATTTGGTCACATTGTGACCAACGAAACTTTGTTGCGACTTGCGGCCAATGGGCCATAGGTCGATAGGGTGGCCTGGTGGAAGGTGAGATTCACCAGTGCTGTAGCTGTCATGAAACTCGTCAAGTGATTGCTGGATATTTTGACCAAGGTGCGCATTAAAATATTCTGCTGAATTCATAGTACTTCTATTTGTCAATTTGACAATGTATGCAGTGACTGTTTTTTATTCGGTGATGCATTTTCATGTCCGAGAGCAACAAGATATATATATATATATTTCTTACACCGCTCATAAATATCATAAATATTTCTTCCAGCCTTGTCAAAGGATATATTAAAAGCCTATTTAAATGGATACGTCCAGGGATATTTTCAGGGTCTTGTAGCAACCATCCGCCTCAATGCCTCCAGGTGCAGCTCTGCTGCCAGACTTGGCTCATTGATAGGACCAGGGGTTTCAAATGAAAGGTAAGGTGGTAAACATAACTAAGTCGACTAGGTTTTTGGATATTTATGCGGAGATAATCGGGAGATAGTTAGATAGATAGATAGATAGATGGATGGATAGATAGATAGATAGATAAGAAAATTAGATAGATAAGAAAATTAGATAGATAAGAAAATTAGATAGATAAGAAACTTAGATAGATAAGAAAATTAGATGGATAAGAAAATTAGATAGATAAGAAACTTAGATAGATAAGAAACTTAGATAGATAAGAAACTTAGATAGATAAGAAAATTAGATAGATAAGAAAATTAGATAGATAAGAAAACTAGATAGATAAGAAAACTAGACAGATAGATAATAAAATTAGATAAGAAAACTAGATAGATAAGAAAACTAGATAGATAAGAAAATTAGATAGATAAGAAAACTAGATAGATAAGAAATAGATAAGAAAACTAGACAGATAAGAAAACTAGATAGATAAGAAAATTAGATAGATATGAAAACTAGATAGATAAGAAAATTAGATAGATAAGACAATTAGATAGATAAGAAAATTAGATAGATAAGAACACAAGATAGATAAGAAGACAAGATAGATAAGAAAATAAGGTAGATAAGAAGATAAGATAGATAAGAAAAATAACATAAACTAGATAAGAACATAAACTAGATAAGAAAATCAGATAGATAAGACACTAAGATAGATAAGAAGCTAAGATAGATAAGGAACTAAAATAGATAAGAACATAACATAATATAGATAATAAAATAAGATAGATAAGGAACTAGAATAGATAAGAACATAATATAGATAATAAAATAAGATAGATAAGAACATAAAATAGATAAGAAAATAAGATAGATAAGAAACTAAAATAGATAAGGCAGTAATATAGATAATAAACAGAGATCGATAAGAAAATAAGATATATAGATAAGAAAGTAGGATAGATCGGAAAGAAAGATAGATAAGCAAATAAGATAAGACAATAAGAAAGACAAGAACATAATATAGATAACAAACTAAATCAGATAAGAAAATGTGATAGATAAGAACACAAGATAGATAAGACAATTAGATATATATATATTTAGATAAATAGATATCTAGATATTTAGATAGATATATAAGATAGATATGTAAGATAGGTAGATCGATCGATAGATAGATAGATCAATAAATAGATATATAAGATATATATATATAAGATAGATATGTAAGATAGATATGTAAGATAGATATGTAAGATAGATATGTAAGATAGATAGATAGATAGATAGATAGATAGATAGATAGATAGACAGACAGACAGACAGACAGATAGATAGATAGATCGACAAATAGACAGCTAGATAGCTAGATAGCTAGATAGCTAGATAGCTAGATAGCCAGATAGATCGATAGATCTATAGATCGATAGATCGATGGATAGATAGATAAGTAGATAGATAAATAGATAGATGGATAGATAGATCGATAGATAGATGGATAGATCGATAGATATAAACATAAATAGATTTGTAGTTTGACGGGGTTTTAGAGCAACTCAAAATGGGGGTACCATTCCTTTTTTTACGATTATCTCGTGACATACTGTAATTGATAATGGGGATTTGGTAGGGGTATAATGAGATATTTATGGATATGTTGTCATTGTGACTGACCAACTTGATATGATAAGTTGGTATGTGTGAAAATTGGGTGTACCCCCATAATGGTAATCTAGAGTATGACAATCATGATTATCGAGCGTTCCCGTAATTATCAGACAAACTCATTTGGTTTTCCATCAAACATGGCAAAACAATGATAAACATGAATGAACAGTGATGAGCATGGATGAACAATGATAAACAATGATAAACATGGATGAACATCGATCGACATGGATGAACATGGTGGTTGGGACACCAGCATGTTGACATTTCTTGAGACTCCGTTTCGCAGCCTCATTTCACCTGGTTTCAGTGCCGCAGGACAGGCTGGAATTTGGGGGTGAGCCGCGAGGGACCTTTGGTGGATGCCGGACATGGTGTCCTTCTCTGTGGCAACAACGTCTGATCCTCAGAGACGGAGACTAACCAGAGTCCCTCTTCATCAACAGGTATCATTGAAGCTTAAGCTTTCTTAAGCCCCTGATTATTGGGGTTGATGGGCGTGAATAATCCATCAATACCATATTTTATAGCCCAGTTATATATGGGATACCCCCACGAATCGGGGACTTAGTACAAGGACCGTGGGAGGATCCGCCAAGTGAAGTTGTGAAAAACAGGTCACCCAGCCGTGTGAATCGCCAGATGAAGTATCACAAGATCATCTCGAACGGCAAGTGCTCCACGGATTTCTCCTTGCCCTCAGGCCGGGGCATGTGTAAAATGGCAGGTGGATTCTGGGGCTTGGCAACCATACCAAGCCCCAGAACCCACCTAAAGGGACCAACCAAAAAAGAAAGGTTATGGATGGTTAGGGAAAAATAATAAACACATTCCAATTTCACACTGGGATTCTACTTGGGAAATGGGACTAAAAGGGGAGTGGGGTAACTGTGGATTTTCTTCCAATTGCTGGGCCAAGAAAAAGTGGCTTCGTTGCAGCCAGGTTACAACGACCACACGGTCACCTCCACTCCAGAGGGGGTCTTCGTGACTGTGCGTGCGCGTCCATTGGTGGGGCAAGAGGCCGGTCTGGAGCCAGAAATGGGTGGGTTTTCCGCTGGAAATCAAGCCTGCCAATGGAGAATTCTTCCTCATTTCTGCTAGGAATATACCCCCCCTTGATTTCACATGACTATGGAAAATGGATGAAAATGGTCCGTTGATCATTGATCCATCTATTGGAATGGTGATTTTGGCTGTGTTGGTTTACCGGTGTCATCCCATGATGATTGGGATGCCCAAAGCCAGAGCGATAGGGCGATAGCCGTGACACAAGAACACTGGGATGGTCGAAGTTAGGGAAAGACGGGTAGTACCCTCTGGTAAACTAACATGACTATGGAAAATCACCTTTTTTAATTGGTAAATCAACTATCAATGGCAATTTTCAATCGCTATGTTAGTTTACCAGAGGGTAGCATATAGGAAAGTAAACCATGCTATACCAAGCATGTAGAAAACGAAATTATTGTGGATTTCAATTCATTCCATGATCCTGGAAATCCCATTGTGGACCTCTGTGAAGAAGGCTGCGATATGCTGCGATGCCATTTTGCGTGTATAGTATATATTGATATGATACAGGCAGACACTGTTTTTTCCCTCTCTGACGGTTTCACGCGTTCCCGACTATTTTTAATGTACTTGATTTGCATTATCTAGAATCTAGATTTACAAGAGTGATATTGATAAACAAATAGATCATTTAAGGTCTCTCAGCTTTTATTAAGCTTTTCTTCGTATTTTTCTCATTCTCCATCCAGCCATCGGTCCCCAAGGGAGCCGACCTTAGAGCCTTTAAGGAGGACATCGTGCGGTGCCTGGAGATCGTGCCCCGCGTAGTGGTGCAGAACGACACCGGGCAGCTGGTGGAGTTCAGGCGCGCTTTTTTAGCGCGGAAAAATCCCAGTGTCTCTTGATGGAGGGAGGTACTATACATAGAAGGTCTAATAATATTAATATATATATAATAATAACAATAATAATAATTATTATAATATATATATATATGTATATCTATTATTACCCTTTGGTTATTTAACATAGCCATGGAAAATCACTATTTTTATCCATTTTTTATAGGTAAACCATCTATAAATGGGCCATTTCCATGGCTATGTTAAATAACCAGATGGTATATATTTATGAAAATATACATGTTTATTGATGGATTATGATTGACTAAAACTATACTAGCCATGAATCTAAGCATATGATATTTTTATTTATTTATTTATATATTATATCCCGGTTTGATGATTAATTATTATATATACTCTCTGGTAATCATGGTTTGGGCTGGGCAATCTACCATTTATAGATGATTGTAGATGAATCTCTCATTCAAAAAAAAAAATATATATATATATACATATACAGGATTTTCCATTGGCACCTTCGATTGCCAGAAGTGTTTAGGAATTATCTCCCGGATATATCATGATTGATATTTGACATTAATTTGTTGCATCCCGGATTTACGGGAGATATCTGGGAATTATTGGGTTTTTGTATCAACAGAAAATGGACATGTATATGCTAGTAATGGAAATTTCGATGGGGTAAATGAGTTGAAATGGTGCAAAAGTGGTGCTATAATGGGGACATTTCATGCAGTAGAATGGAATGGATCTGGAAAAGGTATGCAACATCATATGTACCATATCTATATAATAATTATACATAGGTGCTTGTTCTTTATGAACTGTACGCATATATATATATTAATATATATACAATATTTGTTTAAACTGCGCTGTATGTTGTTATATGAATGCCTTGCAATTCATTGCGATAATTTATTTTGTGCCGTTGCCTGACGTTTGACACTTATAGGCCCAGGGTGACAATCATGTCTGACATAGTTTTAAACCAGAACAAATGCAGAAGGGAGGCCCCATCCACGTTTCTTTTCGCATCTTTAATCTCAGATGCGATAATCTTGTTTCAGCAGCTCATCCGAATCTTTTCAAGAGTTATTCCCTTCTGATACATATTCTAGGAAGGTCGTGCATTTCTTAGCCTTGCATATTCCTTCCCTAATCTTCCTGCCCTAATGTTAAATACCATAAATTTTCCCTTAGAACATGCGCTTTATTCTTGGATCTGTTCATTTTGGCGCCCCTGCCGCTGTGCAGGTCTGGTGATGGCCGTGTCGCGATCTTAGCTGAGACATTCATCAATGAATGAATCAAGTTTCAATCAAGCTCACATGCACAACACACGCACACATCTATATTTACCTATATTTACCATTATATACATATCTTTACCTATATTTACCTATATTTACCATTATATACATATCTTTACCTATATTTACCTATATTTACCTATATTTACCTATATTTACCTATATTTACCTATATCTACCTATATATATATATACATATATATGCACATGTACATGTACACATATGTGTGCTGCATATTTCTGTGAATGTGCATATGTATCTGCGAATGTATATGAATGTATTGTGTGTAAAGCATGCATTGTATATATATATATGCCCACAGGCACCTATATAGATGTGTTGTGTGTGTAATGTATGTAGACCTGTAGCTACCTTGGCCCTTTTAGTTAGGGTCATTTTGCCTTGCGACATTTTGTGACCTGGTTTGCATTGAAATCACACAGAACCTTCCTTTACGTCCCGAACGTTATAAATCGGACAAGTCGGCCAATGGAGCTTGGAGGAACTGTGCATTATTCGGATACATCTTATTTATATATTAAACTATAATATTGAACTATCTCAAAGAATCTGTACCACATTAGTCTACAACAATCCATCTACTACAATATCCGGTCTTGTGTGTTTCGTTTGGTGCTTTGTTTGGTTGTGTTTGTTTGTTTGGTTGCTTGCGTGTGCCTCCCTTTGTTGGATAGTATGTGCATCCAGCCCCTTCTGGCTGCAAGTCTGCCGCGTCTCCTTTTGCTGCTGCTTTGGGGCCTGATGGGGCCTGCCTACAACAGCCTCTCTCCTGGCCAGTTTTTTTTTTCCGTCCTTCCAAGAAGTACGTTTTTTTTTTTCCTGGCCAGACCAGGCTACATAGGCTGTTTCTCTTAGTTTCGAGGTTGCACTCCTGTGCAAGCAGTGCTCTGACCTTTTTTCAAACAAGGCCTAAGAACTACAATACCATAGGTTCTTATATGCCACCCCAAAATATACACATATCTTTACACATATTGCAGAAACCAAGTTCAAATACGAATCTTCTAATAGATGGATTGTAAAACAGATGGTTTGTGATAATTTTCATGAGTCAAGCCCCCACTTTTTCGTTATATATATATATATTACAATCCAAGTTTCAAAAATCGTTTTGTCTCAACAATACATTTACATATTATACATACATGATTATACATACATAATCATATATATATTTTTTACAGAGAACATATTACATGATATTACATGTATACATATATCATTTACATATATTTTACATCTAAAACATACATGATTATACATACATAATCACACACACATATATGTATATATATATATGTATATTATATTACATCCATTTCTTTTTACAGAGAAGCCCACAGGTTCCCTCAGAATCTCTCCGTTCCCGCCTTGAGGCCACCATCCGCCCCGGCGAGATGTCGTCGCCGAAGTTCACCGCGGAGACGGCCCAGTTCCGCAGCCAGGACGCGGTGAACTGGTCCACGGAGATCCCAATCACCGAGGACGTGGCAGGCCCCTGGCCATCCCTGGGCCATGGGAAAAGATGGGTCAAATCTATGGGAAAATCACGGGAAAACATGGGACATATAGTCGAAATATGTCGAAATACTGGCAAATGTTGAAGTTCAAAAAGTTGGAAAGCGAAAAGGTGTATGTATAGTCATTTTTCCAGCATTTTGGAAGTCAACATGTTTTCCCAACGCTGCGAATGGATCTGGAGGCACTGCATCGATTTCCGTCGGGAGTTCTTGTTATACGCTGGACATTCGTACAGAGAACGGCGTCATTTTCATCCTGCTTCTCCGGGGGAGCCTTTTGTCGGCATAGTCAGTGGCACAGCAGCTGGACCGTCAATAACGACAAGCAAGCGGATCGTAAATACTTAGACTTATATATTTCCAGTATATTTCATAATTCCAGGACATTCCATGAGTTCTGTAAACAATTTCCCGGTTGGGAAGCATTCTACTGTATATTTTCTCTATACTATACATATATATACACATATATACTTTTGCAATCTTTTGCCCAGAACGTCCCAGAACTTGTCCACACGGAAGAATTCTCACCAGAAACTGCCAGGCCCTGTGCACGATGTTCGGAAAACCTGTGCATTGGAACATGGAACCTGTTTGTCGTTTCCAGAATCAGTAAGCGAGAAATATTTTGCCGGCAAGGTAAGTTTGCCTTATGCAACAAGACGAAGCACGATTGCGAGATGCGTGTGCGCAACATGCACTTCCGTGCCGGACCTGGTGCGGTGGTGGATTTTGCATGGACTGATGCTGGGTTTCTATTTGGGCATGTCATGGAGGGCACCAGGGCACCATCATGTCCACCTTGATGGGGATTGGTAGGTCTGCACTGAACTTAAGATCTTCCTTGAACTGGCTGCAATGGCAGCCATGTAGTATTGAGTCCTGACTTTCCCAATCTTTCCCCCATCTTCCGAAATCACGGATTTGACACAAAACCTGACCAATTACCCCCCGAGAAAACCATAGTATGTTTATATCTCCCTCTCCGCCAGCGTTGGTGGATTGGGATTCCAATCCTTGGGGCACTCAGTGGTGCCAATAATTGGATTGCTCCAAGGATCCATTTGACAAGGACAAGGATATGGAGGCAGAACTCATTTTGGATGATGAGGATTTCCCCATCAATCCTCGCATCACCTACCACAAGCGCCTGCGTGGTCGGATGGAGCTCTGCAGTTTCCTGGCTGGAGTTTGGAAAAGACATGCCCTGCTATCTATGGATGGCTTGCAGAAAAAAAACGCCCATGGCACAGGTGACTTCAATGATTAATTACCTCTTGAATATGGGTCAACAATGCAGGATGCTTCTTCCAAAGGTCAGATAGAACAGTTCCTTGTACATCTGATGGCTTCAGACTATTTGTGGCACACTGTACATATACATTTGATACTTTGTAAGCTGAGGCACGAACCACATTAAACCAGGCATTCATCAAAACGAAGCATGCACCGCCTTAATTTGTGATCCCAGGAAGCTGACATACTGCATAACTGGCACCGATTCAAGGCTCGTTTGAGAAGACGAAGCACTTTCTCGAAGTTCGAGAAAGGAATGACGAGGCGTGACTTGCCCCCGTGACTTTATATGACAGGTCTGGGCAGATTTCATGGGACAGTTGCGGCTGATAAAATCCTGGTACTGGTTTTAGCCGTGTTTTTTCGGAGTTGTGTTGAAACATAGTGACATGTGTTGGATGACAATCCCAACTAAAAAATTACATTCGTGATGGAATGAACACCACTTCTTTTGGTGGAAACTGGACCGGCGAGCACTAGCAGTAGAACTTTTTCTTGCCACCTTGCTTGATCGTCCATTGTAGTTCCATGGTGGTTGCCATCCATGGTTCCAACATGTCCCAGTCGTCTCTTTCGGGCGTTTATGGCCCGGACGGCCCGGAATCAATGTGCTTTTGTGATGTCTGGAGTTCGTATTATGTATTTAGATTGGTAACCTTAGCAAATGATGGTAGATCTCTCGGTAGTTCAGCCAGTTGCTCAACAGTTCAATATGGTAAGCCCTAAAATAGGACATTTGAAGGTTTGATTATCAGCCCAGGTAACACGATATAATCCATCACTTTTACCACAATTTTCATATCTCTCTCATCAACTTCAACACGGGGTACAAATAACATAACCGACATAACAACATGGTACAAATCTGCCACCCCCTCAAACAATATGTAGAAGGGTATAGTTCTGTAATGGAATTGATCTGTAAGATTTTAAATGACATAAAAACAGGTTAGAGAGCTGCTACCCCCCTGAAACAATATATATATATATATTATAATAGGGTCTAAATCTGCCGCCCCCTAAAACAACGTCACCGCGCCTTGAGGAGCGCTGGAGCATTCACACATTTCATCATTGGCTTCAATTAGCCATCATGAATTTGTGAACCCTTCAGGGTTTCACGTGTTTTAATATCTTGATGTCTCTTTGTGAAATATCTCAAAACCCTGCAAGAGCACCTCATTTTGAGGGTCAAATTTTGCAATTGCTATGGTTTCAGATAAGGTTGTAATTCAAGCACAGATTTCGGCTTTTTTTTTGCACACTGCTTACAGAGCTGTCCAAGTCTGTCAAACAAATTGCCACTGGCCGATCTTCTCCACAGACCACGTCCTATTTATCACGACTTCTCTGTCTCTCTGACTTCTCCTTTCAGTCTGGTATTCCATGTTCAAGGAACACTGCTCTTGACATGCTGCCAATGTCTATCCAACTGCTGGGTACCTTTGACTGTTTCACCACGACCCAAGACCAGCGCTTGCATCGCCACTTCTTGCCAGCCTTCATCTAAGTAGTAGCATCATCTAAGCCTGCAAGTACAAGAGCATCATCTCAGTCAAGACTCCTTAGAGTAGCATCATCTCAGTCAAGACTCCTTAGAGTAGCATCATCTCAGCCTGCAAGTGTTAGAGATGAGTCCTTACCCTAGTATCACCTAATGCTGCAAGTACATGAGAAGAGTCCTTAGCGTAGCCTCTTCTCAGTCTGCAAGTACAAGGGAAGAGTCCTTAGCGTAGCGGCGTAGCATCATCCCAGTCTGCAAGTATTAGAGATGAGTCCTTAGCGTAGCATCACCTAAGGCTGCAAGTACAAGAGAAGAGTTGTGAGCGTAGCATCCTCTCAGTCTGCAAGTGCAACAAGACGTTATTTGCCCCCACCCCACCCCACCCCATCTGCAAGACAATATTTCTTTAACGATCAGATGAATGATGCAAAAAGCAGGAAAACGTCCGCACTCCTAGAAGCGCGGACACCTAAAACAACATGTATAGAAGGGTATTGGGGATTACAATGGGTCTTCTTTGTACAACAATATATAAAGGGTCTAAATCTGCCACTCCCCGAGAGAATATGTAGAAGGGTATAATAAAATAGAATTACTTTGTAAAAAGCAACGTTTCTGGTTTCCCAGCAACTCTGGGCAACAACCCTTCGCAGACTTCGTTGGGATCCGTTGAAAACGACAGGCGTGGGCTCCAGGCAAACATTTGGTTCTGTGCGTAATTGTCTAATTGTGCTTTGTATTATTTTTTGCGAGGTTTTCCGCCATGTTCAATCACTTAAGGATGGATCACTAAGTCACTAAGTTACATTCGATTTTTGATGGTCACTCCCCATGTTCTTTGCGCTTTTTCATTGGTTAACCACCATTTTGATTGGTCAAGTCCAATTTTTGATGGTGAAACCGGTGAAATCCACATGTTCATGATCATAGTCAATCCTCATTTCCATTGGTGAATTTCCACAATTTTTCATTGTGGTTAATCATGCTTATATCATGCTTATATCCCCACTTTTAGACTTTTAGTTCTCTTTTTTCATGCTCAAATCCAAGACTTGGTGGTGGTTTCAACATGTTTCAACCCTATTTTCATGGCTTAAATGAGGTTGAACGTCCATTTCTATAGGGGTTCAATCCCTCATTTTTCACCGGACATTTTTCGAATGTCCCAAGGTTCACAGATTCGGCGGTGACGCTGAACCTGGTGCTGCCACGCATCGGCGTTTCGCTCATGGGGCGGGCTCCACGACAGAAGCCTGGCACCAAGGGTGTTTGTTTTTTCGATTGATTATAGATTGGTCAAGAGTCAAAATTATATAATCATCTAGTTATTGTAAACCCAATAGTTATCGTAAACCCAATAGTTATTATAATCATATATGTTTTTTGATGATGGCATGGTTTACTATTGGGCTTACCACTTTATTTTATATTTATATAATCATCTAGGAACTGGATAAGAATGGACATGTGCATGGAAGATCAAAATTGAACATTAGTCAATCCAATTTGGTGTCATCACACATGACTAGCCCGAACTAAATGGTAGATTTTCCAGCCAGACGCGTTTGACTACCAAAGAGTACACTCAGCAGTTTAGGTGCATGGTCTGGGTTATTCTTCTTAAGGGGTGAAGGATGTTTACGGGGATTTTCATGGTGTTTGGTTGGGAGTTTGATGGGTTTTGATACTTTATAGATTTATATTTATATTTATAAGGCCATTTCATCCTATTCAGGTCTCATTTCATTATATTCAGGTTTCAAAACCCATGAGCACAGGGGGTGAATCGCGCCAAGTCCACTTTTGAGATCCCGGGCGGCCAGCGTAGCCATCTTGATTCACTTACAAAATTTCGGCCAATCGGTGGCTGAAGATGGTGTTCAAAAGTGAACATTCTAGCACCTGAAGAGTTTAGGGTCAGTTTAGCATATTTTTGGGGGATTCCAACTATTAAACCATCATATGGTGATAGCTAGATTGAAATAGCACCCACCATGTCCTCAGCAATCTAAGACCAGCCGAAAACTCAGCTATTGGACCATCGGACCGCTGGCTCTGCAACTAAGTTAGATTTCTGAATTGTTTTCAACCATATATCTTCGACGCAAATGGCTAAGACCTTTGTTTGGTGTCCTAAACCTTAGCCAGTCCATGGTTGCCATGGTTTTCACAGCTTGCTTTTAAAGCATTCGCAGCACCCCGCCATCACCGAGCTCAATATCTTTATCCACGAAATACAGCGGCTTTCCTTAGTTTCCCATGGATCATTTATGTTCCAGTGTATCTCAATCATAAGGGCTGGATCATATCAGCACAGTGTTGGAATACTAATGTTGGAATCAGTTGGGTGTTGACAAGCATCTGGGAGATATCTCCTCAGTAGTCAAGCTTTGAACGGCTTAAAGGCCACAGGGCGGAACATTTCAGAGCAAATTAAAACGAAATAATGCTGGTGAGAAACATTGCTTTCTTTCTGGAACATGACTCGCCAAATCTTTGTAAGAACACGGCTTGCCTCGAGTTCCTTAGTCTTAGCTAAGGCCAGATATGATTTGAATGAGCGCTGTTATCAAGAAAACTTGTAAAAGCGGCCTAACACAGTTCACAGAAAATGCGAAGCGGCTTCAGCAGTGAAGGCCGATGCCAAATTGGTATACTTGTAGTTGGTGGTCACCGCAGCGTACTGAAAGTAAATTGGCGTTGCTTTTGGTTTGATGACATAGCGCGCACCTAGGCCATGCGTGAAGCCAACAATAAAGGCATGCCACCAGTATGTTTATAGTCTAAAGGAACACTGCTGCACAAATATGGGTTCAAGATGGCTCAACTTCAAAGAGTTGTTTGGGGAACTTAGTTCGATACCTCCATCAGTCATAGGGGCCAACAATTCATGAGAATTGATGGTCGGGTCTGTAATTTTCTCCTCTTCAAGCTCTTGAAGCAGCTGGTTCGATGAGCTTCTGTCAGAGTCTGACGTGGATTTTGTGTTTTCACCTGGATCCGGGACTTCCAGCACCACGTGCTGATGTTCACTCGTCCAAGCGCAAGTCATCATCCTGGAAACATCACCTGGCAAGTAGGCGTTTTCGTTTCTAACTGTAGACTAATCTTTTTTGATGGTTTGTAGATTGATAATTAATAATGCCGGATCATCCAAAGTTCAAAAATATGTCAAAAGCCATCCATGCACATGCATGGATGTTTGTGATTTGATTTTCCAAGCAGGTACTCAAAACAAAATCCAAACATATTTTCTCCTCCTGGCTATGGATATCGCAAACTAAGTGTCAGAGGTGAACATCAAAACACCTGTTCCCCCAAGGTGCCTTGGTAACGGAAATCATATATTGGACGGAGCCATGCATGGTTGCAGGCGGTCATGAAACCACACAGTATCCACTGAGAAATCAAAAAGCAGCAGCTATAGAACATGCTACCTAATCCTCAGCTTCGCTGGAACTGCTATGGCCATCGGCTTCCTCCTGAGCTTGCTGAGCTTCATGAGGAGCCGGGGCCGCGGGAAGGGACTTTGCCTTCGATTGTTGAAGGCGTCGCCGGGACAACTCATGGCCCGGCAAGTTCTTCATGAAATTGATACGTTCAGGGTGTGCCAGCCACCTCAGAGAAAAATATGTCAGGAGGGTCAGCTCAATATCAGGCATTAAAATAAAAAGGTTGGAACAGGGCTCATTCCACAACTTGAGAACTGATACCCATAGTATATCAAATGTTCTAGGGGTTGCACTCACGACGGGCCATCTGAAGGATGTCTGTCTTGGACTTGTCAGGGTGTGCTTCTTGCAAGCGTTTCTTGGACTCACGGATGTGGGTCCAGTAGGCACCACGCATGTCAGGTGACGCCTCCCAAGGCATAAAACAAGGGGGTGAACAGCACCCAGGGTAATCCCCTCATTCTTTGGTCACATAATACCAGAAAGGGTGGATTGAATTGGATTGGAGTGTAATTGTGATGAAGGAGCATAAGTATATTTTCGAAGTTGTCCCACCAGTTTCGATTGGAGATAAATAGAGAGAACCCCCGCCTTGTCGTCCTCATTGTTGGTCTCTTCTGGCTTTGGGGTTTTCCTGCTCTTTCTTTCCGGTTTTGCCTTCGCCTTGCTTTTCGGATCTTTGCTGCTTCCTGCTGCATCCTTCTTCGTCACCTCCTCTGGCTGTGCTGTCTTGTTTCCTGCATTCTTCTTTGCCATCTTCTCCTGGTACTTGGCAAGCTTGTTTGGGCTGTAGATATCTTCCAGGGAAACAGCTCCTTTCTGTTTCAACTCAGCCTGTAGCTTTCTGATCTCCTTAGGGCCCAGAAATTCAATCTCCTCAGATTCTGCTTCCTGGTCATCCTCTCTTTTGTCATCGACCTCGCTCTTATCATCATTCGTGCTCATCTCTTTGTCTTTTCCCTTCGCCTTTGCCTGCTTGACCTTCTCCTTGTCTGTAGAGCCTCCAGTCTTAAGTGCTTTGGAAGTCTCTTCTTCTTTCGCTTGCCTGCGCTTCCTCTTGTTCTTCTCAGTTCGCGGTTTCTTTGAGGCCTCTGATTTTGCTTCCAAGTTCTCTGTATCCTCCTCAGAGTTTCCTGTGTCGGTGTTGTCATGTGCAGTCACCTTTGTATCCATTTGCTCCTCTTTCTTTTCTGTCGAGTGGTGCTTCTTCATGGAATCCTCAGCATCGTCTCCTGGATCATTCTCCATGGGCATGGTCTTTGCCTCCTGCTTCTCCGATTTCTTGCCATGGGCTGCTTCTTCCTCCTCCGAATCGTGTGTGCTCTTCTCATCCATGCTTTTGTCGTCTTTTCCCTTCGCCTTTGCCTGCTTGACCTTCTCCTTGCCTGTAGAGCCTCCAGTCTTAAGTGCTTTGGATGTCTCTTCTTCTTTGGCTTGCCTGCGCTTCCTCTTGTTCTTCTCAGTTCGAGTTTTTTTTTGCGGTGGCATCTGACTTTTCTGTGTCGCTTTTGTCATCCTCACTCATCTTTGTATCCATCTGCTGCGACTGCTCATCATCTCCTGAATCTGCCTGTTTCACAGATTCCTCCGTAGGCACACTCTCGTCCTCCTTCTTTTTCGATTTCTTGCTATGGGCTGCATCCTCCTTCAAACTTTTGGTGCTCAGCTCATCCACCTTTTTGCTGTCTTTTGCCTTTGCCTGCTTGGCCTTCTTCTCATCCTTAGAGCCTCCAGTTTTGCATGTTTTCGTCTTTGCACTCTGTCCATCTTTGTTGGCATCCTCTTTGGTCGCCGTGCATTCGTCCTTTTTGGTCTCAGGTACCTCTGCTCCTTTTCGTGCCTTTTTTTCCTCCTCTTTGGTCTCCTTGTTCTTGCCGTCTTCTGAGCCATGCCCCAAAGCCAGTCGAACTGCCATCTTGCGCCTGGTAGCAGCATCAACTGGCGTTGGTTCCTGTTCACCCTGTGGACCCTTTCTCTTCGCTGCCTTCTTAAGCTTGTCCGCAGGACCTTTCTTGCCGTGGCCGTTGGCTGGCTTCACAGGCACGGCCTGGCGCCAGGAAGAGGGAGTGGCTGGAAACAAGCTGGTATGGTGGACACCATGTTCGACGAAAATTGGATGGCCAGTGCATGGTGGGCCATTTGTTAATGATGGATATGTAGTGATAGATCAGGAAAACCTATTGGTACAAGATATACCGTTAAGATCCTTTAGGTATAATAGTATCCAATTTGATATTATACAGTCATCATAAATCTGAAGAACTCCCACCTTGTCCTTGGCTTCTCCTGGCTCTGATTCATCCTCGAGATCACTATGTTCTGTCAGAGGTTCCTCAGAGTCCAAGGTGTCGGTTTCTTCATCGGCGTCTTTCTTTGGTGCAGCTGCTTTTGCCTTGCCCTTGGGGTTTGACTTCGCTTTTGCTGTCATTCTAGGCTTCTTCTCTCCTTTCTCATTCTTTGCTGCATCTTGCCCTGCTTTTTTATCTGCCTTTTTCTCTGCCTTTTGATCCAACTTGGTCTTTGTAATCGACTCCTGATGTTCTTTCAGTTTGTCTTCTGACATTTTGGGGTCATTCTTGGCTGTGCACCCACTGACTGTCAATGGGAGCCCTGTTGGACCCTCAGAATTTTCCTTCCCGGATGGGGAATGTACCCCTCCAGCTGTCACACTTTCCACACGCGGGCTAGCTGACTCGAACTCCAATTTCTTCGCTTCAGGTTCACCCAAAGCATCCCCTGAATCACTCGGCATTCTCTCCTCTGGGGCTTTGTCCTGCCGAGCGGCGATGAAGGTTCTTCCATGTGCACATGAAATGCACTTGACTTGTGTGGCCAGGCCTCAAGCCCAGAAGATCGCGCTTCGGAATCAAATTGGGTACGGTCCTTGGAAGGAGTTGGGTTCTGGGCCCATCCAGTATAGAACGGCTGTAAAGGGAGTTTTAAGAAATTAGACCTGAGTTTCCTACAGGACGACGAGCTCTCGGTGTAACAAATGCTGAAGGGGAATCTTGGGCCAACTTGGTCAGATCCTGCGCCAAGAAGGCAACCCCAAAAGAATGTTTAGTTTTGAATCGAATCTGCAAACTATTCATTGAATAATGCAAGAAACTCAAGAATTCCAGTCCTTGTCGAATCCATGGGAAGCCAAAAGTGACTCCAGGGAATTCATGGTTGGCTGTGTTGCCAAGTCACCCTCAAAAACCCGATCTACTGTGTAGAGCTTTGATGGTTTCGGAGCCAATGTTTCAAGGAGCGATTTGAAGTCCAAATGCAGGCAAGTATTTAACTAACTAACTCAGTCTGGAATCCAGGCAAAAAAGGATGCAAAGCCATTGTTTCTATCACTGATGATAAAACAAGTCAGAGATACTAGTGTCTTGCCGTTTGATCGCTGCGACCTTGTCTGATCGGAGAAACTTGCTGGTTCCATGTGCAAGTTGGAATTCCATCGCCGAGAGGACAACCGGCATGTGTGCAACCTCATTAGGCACAAGGGATGCTAGGCGATTTCAATGCTTTGCACCACACAAGGAAGTTTCAATATGGAGGTTGGGGATCCTGGTTGTTGATAAATAATAAATAATTTTCTTATTTGGCCGTGGTACCAAAAACAACTTGAACTTCTGGCCTTCGAGGGCTTGCGACACCCCGCCATCCCGAGCTTTACATTGCACCAGATAAAGGGTTGTTCCAGCTGTTCTACCACTGCACTTCCCTTCGACGATGTATCGGTCAAGAAGTTGGTCGATTGTCTCTGGCTCCCCCGACCACGGCTCCTGCACCACCTTCGACTCCTCCTCTGCCTTTGCAGCAAGTGCCAAGGCCGCTTTGGCGTCCTGAGCCGATTGGGTGCCATACCTCAGCCGGACAAAGGCGGGAAGACTGTGAGAAGGGCTGGATAATTGGTGGTTTTTTCTTGTTTTTTCGACTAGAGCCCTTAAAAAAACCTTATAACGGACCGGTGATTATCAAATAAATTTGATGTCACTCAGGCAAATTACTTGGAGTCAAAGTCCTTGAGAAGTCGTTTCCACTCTTCCCCAAAAATTGGGTCCTCCATGTGCCGAGCCCTGATGGTAGGCGGTATGGAAATTTGGTATCTCTCCCATCCCTTCAATCCTGGGTTTGGATCAATCTCAAGCTTCACCAAGCGCAAGGGAAATTTGTTTGGGTCCACTTCCCTCCCAGCCGGCGCCGGCGGCGGTGTAGGCTCATATGCTCGAACCTGCCCAAGCGTCGTGTGGTTCCCAGACTTCCATTCCTTCCGGCAGCCGCTCAGTGTGGGAACGGATGGACTTGGTGTATAAAAACAATATGATCACACTGTCAGTATCAGCCTGTATGGCCACACATATGAAAACAAAGATCCGACATATAATATTTTATAAATTTATCATTATTGTTGATATCCCACACGTGTGTATGTAATAGTTATGTACGATATGAATCTTATAAAATGCATTACGTATGTATACGATGTATGTTATGTAGTATATATATAAATATGTACATATATATATATTATATATATGCGTATATATATATATATGTATATATGATAACATATGGATATATTATGACAGACAAGACATCATTTTCGTCCATTTATTTGAGTTTTATATGTGTGTGTAGTTTGATACATATGCATGGCACACGCATTGTGAGTGTACACTGGTGCACCATGTTTGTGTCTCTTTCCATACTGACTAGCTATACAGAGGATTTTTGAACTTGTGCGACAGGCTATTTACCATCCTGTGCTAGGCTAACCCAATCCTTACAATACCCGATTCACCAGTCTTTGAATGAAAACATATCTTTGGTCGAATTGGGGAAAAATGCTTGCTTACACTTCTAATGATAGAAATCTCGTCGTTGTATGTGTGACATGGTATGCGTGCTAAAGTACAGAAGGGCAATTAACACCAAATAATTATGTTTTGATCTGTGTGCTCATGTAATTGGAAGCAAATTACTGATTCCACCCCAGGACAATTTTGGTATCAAGTTTGAACCACAAACCTTGACCAGCGATTCACAACAGTCCTCCATCAGTTTCATGGCCAGAACTTTTTCAACGTACTGAGCCGTTGTGAGGGTCTTCGTCAAACTCAGGGTCTTGAATTTCATTTTGGAATTCCCGTTGTCTGCCCACTTCTTGCAAGTTTTTTCGATCCAACCATCATAGGTAGTGAGGTTGATGAGCAAACAGAAGGGCTCACTGGTTGGAATTTTGGTTTTTCCAAGCGAAGAGGAAAGCAAACTTTGTGGCATGTCCTCCCCTGCCAAGAACTGTGCGGCTTCCTGGACATCGCTGAACGACCTTGCGCCGGGCTCCCGGTTGAGCATGTTCAAAATCTGAATGGCAATGGGAAGCTACAAACTAGCTGGTTTGCCACAAAATCATCATTCCCCCAGAGGTTGGACTCAGAAATAAAAATAAGGCATGGTCTAGTATTCCCCATTGAATATGGTGAAGGATAGGCACTGCTAGTTACTAGCCCATCCCTGCCTTGATTCTTTATCTGTTATCCCTTATCATGATTATTATAATATTATGACTTTTATTTTAAAAACCTTGCCAGGAATGCCCCGGCCTAACACCTTCACTGGCGTGTGGTAGATCATCTTTCTCCGCAACAGGGACGATGTACGACCCTTCCGGCGACCAAGGCAACTCACCACGGTTGCACCTGCCGACCATGGGAGGACTGGTTCAGTTTGGGCTCCCACACCAGTAAACCCAAGGGGGCAAACCCTGGTTATGGATGATGGTCTTTTTACATGAAAGTTGCACACTGTGGGGTGGATGAGTAACAGCTAATTTAATCACAAACTTTTGGGATCACGTGATTTTTGAAATGCCCTATCTTCAAATCGAATGTCCCAAAACTATTCCTTGGGGGATGTCCCACATTTTTAGTGCCTGTCTTGCAGCAATTGGCAATTGCTGAAGGGATGATCGTCCATTCCAGCATCCGGCATGACAACCCATGCGTCGAAGCATAGGGGAACTTTCCGCTTTCCAGAAGGGGGTACCAAGCGAATCGTCACACTGCTGGATTTGAAGGATTTTGCGTCGAATTTATCCTCCCAACGCCTTGGTAATGTTGATACTGGTGAGGCACAAATAACAGAGTATTATAAATACTATAAAATAAGTGTTTGAAGATGATTTTGATTCCCAATAAGTTCCAGGGCAACCTTTCTCCAAGACCCCACCCTTTTTTGAGCTAGATCCACCAGAAAAAATGATACTGAATTCAAAGAATGCTCCTCAGCTCTGCCCGATACCCAGCAAGCTTTTCGCTTATTAGGTATGGCGCTATTACGAGCGCAACTGATCGAGGACTCTTCTTGAAAATCGCAGACAAAACCTCCGCGAAGTCATTCACTTCCTGCCCAGTCATTCGGCCACATTTCATCAAGTCGACCCACACAATCGCAGGAGAAGGAGCATAGCGGACCAAGAACTGAGGGAAAGCAGGGTTAAACAATTAAACCACCATGATCACATTATTTCAAAACCTTTTACACGGCAGAGCCAAAAACAAGATGCGACCCCAAAATTCAAACGACGCCCAGCCCAAACTGTTTGTAAAACCCGGGCCCTCTCAGCGAGCGCGATCTGATCTCTGGGGGGTCCAGCGTGCACTGCCATGTTGTTGGCCATGTACTCTGCAACTAGCGATGCTCCAATGCAGTTCTGACCACGGAGGTGAGCAATGCGCTCTGTGCGAGCAGCTGCATCTGATTGGACCACTTCGCGATGCACATTGGCTATTTGGGCAACATCTCGTGCCAACGACAAACAGTCAGCATCATATTGAGCTTTTTTGGCATCAGCCGTCAGGGTCTGGACTTTGGCATCAGCTAGGTCCACCTGCTCTTTGGTTTTGTCCACAAGCTTGGGTGCATACTCCATGAACATGCTGGTCTCCTCGATCTTGAAGTTGTTGTCCAATGCTTTGAGGAAGGTGTCGGCTTCGGAGTTGTAGTCCCTGGCATCGTGCAACCAAGGAATCCCCAGCGTTTGTTGTGACTTACAGCCGGATCATATAATAATAAATTATTATTCACCCCCTTCTTGGTATGAGTTGATTTCGACATCCAATCAAAATTTCAAAGATACAAGGTAGTAGACAAGGCTCCCCTCAACTGCGCGCACCCCCACTTTGTCCAGGATATCCTTGCTAAACAAGGGGTTGCCCATGCCGTCCGTGCTCTTCTCCATGGCCTTCAGCACATGCATCGCAAAGCACATACGATCGCACTCAAGATCCCATTCCTGGATTGCAAGTCGCACAGTTGCAGCCTTCCCACCCCGACGCGTTGCGATCCCATGTAGGAAGAGAACACGATGCACAAACATGCGTTGCTTGTCATTGTCCACCGTCAAAATAGCGCTCCAAAGGTGACAACGGCGTGCTGAAACATCTCGTGGTCCCCCCCCAAGTAGCCACCGCGAATCCAACAACAATGCGTTGGATACAGCTGCAGGGGTTCATGCTATCAAATCCCTCCCGTAAATTGTATCTTTTGTTGGCATTTTTCCAATAAAAATTGCTTAGCACCTTCACAACCCCATCCACATATAGTTATCAAATGTTTCGCAACTTTAAGCCTGATACCTCGAACTTGCAGCAGTGCAAGTGCCCTTGCAGGAGCTCGAAGACATAGTCAGATACTCCCACCTGAGCGAGGCTTGGAATGGGAACTGGAGATGAAATTGGATAAAGGTGTTGGTGACATCATTTAATGACGAGCAATAGTTCAAGGTTATGTCGGCTATTTGGTTCCAATCGTGCTGCTTTATGGTTGGTTTGAAATGAGAAGAGAAAAGAGAGAGAGAGAGAGAGTGAGAGAGAGAGTGAGAGAGGGTGAGAGAGAGAGTGAGAGAGAAAACTAAACCAAGGGGACGCAACAAAAAGTTTGATGTGTGCTTTATTGATTGCCATATGTTGTGCCATTTAATGCAAACTTTATGCATAATGCACCATGTCGCAGAGGCATTGAAAACCCACCATCTATCAGGTGGTTGAGCAAACGCCATTAGATGGTTTTCTAAGAAGCATCATGCCCCTATAAATTTAGTGATGCACCATTAGATCAAAAACAATTGAATTCTCCGGTCATGTAGACTAACATCACCAAGCCACTTTGAAACCAAACAGCTGGAGTGATGTAGCTGAGTCAATCCGGAAGCGCATGCTGGTTGCTGCCACACCAAATTGGTTGTATTCGGATATGGCCGCAAGAAAGGCATCTCTGAATTTGCTCTGTGGGTAGGCTTCCGGATCCTCACAGGGCTGTTTTTGAACCCAGTTGGAGCATGTTGGGTCTGTAGGATCCATGTCTTTATACAATTCGGAGAAACCCATGCTGAAATTTTGAGTAAGTTCAACCCAAATCCTGAACTTGGAGTTCGAGAGCACGTGCAGTGATCACCATCACCTTTTGTAGCACATTTTTTCGCTGGCGTTCTGATTGTTGTTCATGGGTTTGTAGCCTCCGCCAACTACAGTCTGCCCGACTGGCCCCAGTGAACTTGCACTTCAGGATCTTGACTGTCTGGAGCCACCTGTCCATGGTAGGCTGGGGCCTGATGCCTGGGAAACTGGTGGGGTGGTGGCACCTAGACCCCCAGGATACATAAAAACATCACGTCAAAATTGGCTATAACCTCATTTTTTTGACACGACGGTTTGGCCCAAACCCTCACGTCAGAAAGGTCCCCCTGGGTGGCCCCCTGAAGGTCCTGTTGGCCCCAGAATGATATTTTGCGACCAATTTAGCTATGTTTTAGCTACAGACTATTGAAACTACCCCCCAAGTATGATACTTGCGTGGTTGGTGGGCTTGGGGGAGCTGTATTTTGACACGACGGTTTGGCCCAAACCATCACGTCAGGAATCTGGGTATTCTTGATTTTTTGACACGATGTTTTTATGTATTCTGGGGTTTGGGCCCTCCCCAGGATACATACTTGCGACCTTTGAAACTTGCCAAGTATATAAGTTGCGAACTGTGATTTTTTTAGACAAGGCATGCCTGATGAATTGCTCTCTGACCTCATCATCAGCCAGAAATTCCTTCTGAGAATACGTGTAGTAGATGGCAAAAAGGATGATGCTCACCCTTCCCAACCCCTTGGTTGGCAGAACTCTCGGCCATTGGGCACATTCGACACCCTCCTTCTCCTCCAACTTTTGCACCTCCAAGACTTCCCGCCAATTTTCGAAGCCTTGGTGGTAAATGTCTTTGGCGTTCCCCAACCAAGAATGGAAAAGCGGCAGCCCGTCCACAGGTCTTTGGAAACATAGGCAGAGCAGTGGCACGTCCACGATGTCACCACTGGCTGCTGCAACCTAGGAAGTAGGGATGTAGTTTTGCATAATGATTTGTATTCCACTAAGTTGGACTGTTTTGGAATGTCGGGGCTCCCTCAAGTATTGTAATCATTCCCTCATATGTTCCGTTAAGTGTGGATCAAGAAAGATGTTATTTTTATTTATCTTATGTACCTTCAGGGGAAGGGGTGGTCTGCTTGACATGGTTCGATCAAAAGAATGCATACTGAGAAGCTCTAACGTCGAAGCTTTGTGGGCATGGAAATCCAGGAATCAATTCTTCCAGAAACAGCTGCATCGGTGTATACATTTTTGGGACGAACTCATCCAACAGCATCTGGACTGGGTGCTCCCCTGCGTCAACATCGAAGTTCCTCACACAGCTCGGAAAAGGAATTTCGTACTTTATTAGCTTTGTTTGGGGTCGACATCCTAAAAGAAGTAATGTTGGGTTTCCTGAACATAGATTTTGAAGAACATAGATGTTCAGCTAAAGATCTTTGCTGCTCCATAGATTTTTGATGCCCATGCGTTCACATTGGTTTTCACATGTTTCGCACCAGATTCATTTACCCCTGGTGGATGCTCCCGCTTGGTGGGCGGCATCGCCACGAAAACCGTGTCCCCAGGAGGACTTCAACCGAAAGCCGTCTACGGAGGAGAGGGTGTATGGGAGCATAGATGATCAAGTGGCTGTGGCTAGTGGCTCAATCCATGGCATAAATCTTAGAGCTCATTATGAGGCTGAAACTAATTTTTCACTCTTAGCATTGATTGGTATCACTTGCGTCCACTGGCAGATCTGAATTGGATCACCCAAGCAAATCAAGAAGACTTCAATAGGACTATGGTATGAAATTTTATGAGACTGACTGGTGTATTGAATCACCAGGCTGGGTGTCAGCAACTTGCAAAAAAACACATATTTAACGAGCCAAGATAAAAAATTACTTGGCTTCGAAAATGAGAATTGCAGCGAGCAAAAAAGCTCCTACACAAGCAGTGTTCATCGAGTTGCCAGCCATTTTCGACTGTTGCGACTCTGGAACATCCTTCAAACGCAACATCGGGGCTCGGCAGAGAGCACTTTGGTGCTCCGTGGTCGGCAGGAGCTGCGAAGATAACAACTCCTTCGAGGCAACAAAGCGCTGATGGTCCTGGCAGGGCAGCGGGAACTAATTGTCAACTAATTATTTGGGGATTAAAATATTCAATGTAAGGACTATCCAATGGAACCCGTCATGAGGTTGGATTTGAAATGAATAGTTAATGCTAATAAATAAATTCTGTCCTCACTGAACAGTCTGGTGGATGTTGTCAAAGTGCATAAGCTTTTATCACTGCATTCACCCCGGGCCCGCCCATTGCGGGCATATTGACTCAAGTCAGGGAAGCGCTTTGGTGCATCAAGCTTTCGATACTCAGCAAGGTTTCTTTCCTAAGCAGGGAATCAATTCAGGGAATTGCGACACCCAAATGAGTATTAAGAAAATCAACCATCTAAACAATCTTGATGTCAGCACCCCACAAACCATATTGATTTCCTTTTTACACCAAGTCGCTTGGCACGAAGAAAGCTTTGAAGGGGGCAAGTCCATCCACATAAACATGTCGGCTGTGGCGACATTTCGGGATAGAAGGGCCTCTAGGACTTCTTGTAGGGTCCTTGGCTTGGATTTGATAATTAGTGTACCTGGTAACAAGTAAGAGATAATAACGAACTATTTTCTGAATAATTTTCAACCAGAGCACACATCATCCCTGCGCTTGACCTTGTCTGTGTCATAGGCCAAGAAGTACCGACGAGCCCTGGCGCACGGCACCCCAAAATTTCGAGGGTCTATCACCTCATCTTCAGTGGTCCAACTTGGTCCAAGTTCGGAAGAAGGAATGTCAGATTGATACTCCGGGACGTTCTCTACGAGAAGTACGCTGTGGATTCGCTTCATTTGTTTATAATAACTGCTGTGTGTAGGGAATCGAGGATCATCAACTCCAAGTTGACCGCCCATCTTGCTGAAGATAGTACAAATGGGGCCTCAATCCCATGAGTAACTGATTGACCCTACACGAAAGTTTGACTCACTGATGCAATGAGATTCATGATCTACTTGCCGACCACTGCTGCTGAGGCTGGCACCTGCGGCGTTGACATCCAATCCTTGGACGGGCTGCTTTCTGGTCGACATGGTTTTTGACTCAGAGAGCAACTAGGGTGGTACAGAACCATGGCCAACTTATTCATACGTTTTTCAACATATTATTCTTTCACCGAGATTCGGTTTTCACGTCGGTGCTTCTGCACTTTGCACATCTTGTCATGGGTGCTGCAGAATTGGGTTTTCTTTCTCGAATCAAAGGCTGTTATGTCCGGGAAATTGCATGGCATGTTGTAGGTGTTCTTCAAGACCTTCCTACAATGGGTATCTATTTCGCAGGTGAACTCAAAGAGGACTTTGGAATGGGTGGGAAGTCTGGCTCCATTCGCTTTCAGGAAGTTCCGGGCAGCCATCTCCAAGCTGGTCACAGCCTCAAGCATTGGGCTGTGTTTGGAACTTTACATCAAGGGGTGAGCGGAATTTGAAAAACCAGCTACAATCTAGGTATTGGACTGATTCGGGGGCTCCAACCCCTGAAAATGCTGTTGAGAATGTCCAGCGCCATGCGCGCAACCTTTTGCACAACCACTCCACCCCAAATCGCTTTGCTATCCGTTTCATGTAAAGATCTGGCCACTGGAAAGCATCATCGAGAGTGGCAAAGCCCGAGGGATGCTGGTCAGAGGCTGCGTCTATGGTGGTTTTGCCATAGCGCTTACGCCTGGCAAAAGGTAGTAATCACATATTTCGCAAAATTTATAGTCATCATGTGTATTCTTTTGGGCAGCCCTTGGACATATTACATGATATCACACAACACTTCCCCAAGATTCCTGGAACTTCGCTTCATGCATGTCTTTCTCACAGAGTTCTTTGACCTGCCGGGCAATATATCGAATGCTTCATGCCCAAATCCTACTCTGGACTGAACAATTTAATGAGGAAACATCCCTAATAGCCTTGTGGACACGTCTTTTCGAGGTGCCTTTCTATCATCAACATGTTGGCTCCTGGAAGAACAGTCATTGAAGTGGAGTCAACAAATTTACGCTTTAACAGGAAACCTTTTTCCAAAGAATCATATGCAGCTTGTAGAAATGTTTGTGCACAAAGGCTCCTGGTCCCCGCACCACGGAGAGCAGACTGCACCGCCTGCCTAAGGCCCAGCCGAGCCATCCTCGACTCGATCCTTGACCCCTAGAAGCTCGGCACTAAGCAAGCTTACGCAATGAATCAGTGAGTGAGACAAGACCCTAAATGATTCGTATTCTTTGCGCCGAATACTTTTGCATCGCAAACTTTTTTCCCACTGAATGCCAACATGTGTAGCTGCAGGAATCCCCTACAGGATTGTTATCCAAGTCCTGTACCCTCCTGGATTTGATACTTTCAACCTAGACGTGACTTCAGTCTAACTGCCAAGTCAAGTCAATTGGATTGCAAATTAAATGGTCATTGTCGAATTTGAACCTAAGGTTCAATGCGAGGTCCGGGCTCTCTTAGCCAGGGGCCTAGCAACTTGCTTCGCCTGCCGGGAGCCAGAAAATGATTGGGAACCTTTCTGGGCAGCTAGCTTTCAAAATCTAGTGGTCGAACTGATATAATTGTCTAGCAATTTACGATTGATGACTATCATAAATTCATAGTGCCGTGCCTCTTCATGACAGCCAGAAAGGGGGTCACAGCTTTGTTCGGAAGTCTGCCGGAAGCGGCACAGTCATCATGTTGCACTGTAAAGAGACTACGTTAGAAAATGTGGGCATGTCAGTGTCATTGCCACTGCTCATTGGGGCCAGCCTCGCTGTTCTCATTCTTCTTGGACTTGCCCTCGGTCTCGACTAAGGCTGTCATCGCCTTGGTATCCTCAAGTTGGTTAACATGTTCACCAGCCAGGCCTTTGGAGGGGCCAACGGAAACAGTTGCTTGTTTCAAGAGCTGCAGCACGTCTTTTCCGTTGTCTTTTGATTCAGAAGGGCCCGAACCAATTGGAACGTCACATCCATCCTGCACATTGGGATATGCGGTAATTATAAATTTGACCCACAAGCATTTAGACGCTCCACAAGCATTGGCCTGTTGCAGGCGTTTGGATTTCTTCACCTGGCCGCGGAGAGTGCCAAAGGAGGCCCTATGTATAGATTCAGCCAGTTTTGGTGAAAATCTTCAACAATAATAATGCCTCCAACAGGTACTCTCGAATCCTCCATGGCTCGGCCTGCGCTACTATGGCCATATCAATGAATAGATATTGATTGGGAGAATGAACATCCAGCCGACCTGGGAGTCCTCATTGGCAAATGGATCTTCTATGCCCTGGGCTGTGCAGGAGCTACTCTAAGACTAATCATAGTGACATGTTTTCAGGTATGGGGTTGAATCACCACGAATCACATAATATAATAAGACACTAACGGGGAAGTAAAGGCACAAATCACCATCTGGCCTGTGGGATCTTCACAGAATCGCTCCAAAACGAGTCGTCCTCCTCAGACACCACGACCTGGCAAACGTTGCAAAGTTGCTGTAAGGGGTACTGTTTTGATTCAGAGCGAAGCCTCTGAGTCTGACCCGGAGTCGTGTTGGGTAGGAGAAATCACCTGGATCAGGGGGTTATAGTTGTAGCTCAAATATGATTGATATATATATATATATACATACTCTTATACAATCTTTAATCCTTAGGTGAGGACTGGCTCTTCACAGGTCTCAAAGACTTGGGACTGGTAGGTCTCAAACGAATCCTTCAAGTGATTCCAAGAAATAGCAAATAATTATAGTAAAAAGTAACCCTTAGCATCCGAGCGTGTCCTCTGGGATTTGATCATCTCTCCACACCTGGCCAGGTCAGAGTCATGGAAATCTGAGTTCTCCAACTTTGACCAGCACAGCAGAGGTGCCTTTGCGTTCTGGCGCCTGCCAAGGAGGAGAGACTGGATTTCAAATACCATCTTGCAAGTTCACATGCCAAACAAACAGTTGGTTGTATGCTCTGGGCCTATAATAGAATCCATCCCGGCCGGTCACAAGCGATAGGATAGAGGGGGGCATATCGTTCACTGACTATAACCCACTCAAGGGCAAAGAAAACCAAAATGCTTCAGAATGAATGATGGGTTGCACAGCTTTTGATCAGTGATTCTTGGTATCCCAATGTATTTAGTGAACAATGTATTTAGGTCCAGGGACAATGCCAATCAAGCATAATAGCCTGAAAACTTGCGACCTTTCTTTTGACTCCTTTTTTTTGGGGTGAAAACTTACATCTTTCATCGACGACGGTTGATGGTTGCCCTAAATCGGATGGTCGGTGCCACCTGTTCCATTGCTGCCGGCCTAAGAACCACCAAGTCCCTTTGGCCCGGTGTTGTGTAAAACGGAATTGGGGCCAACAAACCTGGGTCTGTACAGTTGCAAAGATCCAAAAGAAATTCTATTCCCCTTTGAGAGGACGTGGAGGGGAATCTGGTCAACATGACTTGGGCCAGGTCGGTATACCTCTGCCGCTTCACAGCCTCCAAACGCTTCAGAGGCCTGGGCTCCTCTGGGGAGGATTGGAGGATGGGCAGCATGAACTGGTACGGCATCGCCAAGATTGCTTCCTCAGAAGCATGTGAGATATCAAACTTACTATATTTTGCTTTCAAGAGATTCTGATGAATTTTGTTGAAAAAGTTGTCAAAAAGGTTCCGTCAAGAATCCTGATCCAAACTGGAATCAGACGCATTTTTCTTCACAAAGCAAATCACGTCCATCTCATGCGAAATCAAGCCAGCGTATTTCTCATCGTGCTTGATGATGATGTTCCGTGGCACATCTGAGAGGAAATCTTTGGAATCTTAATGTAGATCAAATGCTGATTAATCATCATCAAAACATGGCCAAGGGTGGTGACTAACATTTGGGCAACCATGAGTATCACTGCATTCCCACACCTGCCCTTCTGAAAAATAGGAACGCATGATGCCCGGTAGCATCCGTCTTCATCCCTCCGCTGAAGGTGACGGGAAGATGGTGGTCAAGCCTTGGAGCACGAAGTGGCCAAATTGCGGAGAGAAAAATGTCATGTGAATGGGCGAAAGGTGCATGAGGAAGGAAAGGTACTGGGTCCCAATAAAACAGTAACAGTAAGCTAAGAAACCATGCTTTCCAAGGTCGACAAGCTTTGATGAATTGCACATTGATTTTCGCATGGGGCCCAATCCACTTGCGAATGTGAATGCGGTCCAAGATCGCTCGGATTTTCCTGAGATCATTAAGTTCAAGGTTTAAGCATGGCTGGTTGATGAAATTCAAATCATAGGGTCTCAAACTTTGAAATATAAGGGCCAACTTGGGAATTTAATCATGAAGTTGAATCTGAAGACAAGCATCGCAATCAGGTCGGGGATGTCACAGATCAGATCAACATAACGCAAGCAAGCTGCTAATATTCCAAATAATTGATCTCAGTGGTGATGGTGGGTGCTCAGTATTCATGTAACATCAGGGAAGTAGTTAAGTTGTCATCATGGCTATCAACTACCCAGAACATGCACCGAAAATAAATAAAAATTAATGGGAGAACCACAACAACCGAGCCACCCAACGGACCATGTGTATGGCCTGTGCGGGCAAAAAACATGCCCGCACAGGCCATATGCTGTTTCCCCAATAGTGTACACATCATCTTCATCACCGCCCCATTCTTCGTTTCGCGCACAGTATTATCAGCCTTAAACTGGGACTCATATGAGTTACCACAAAAACTTGTCAGCCGTAAAAACTTAATATGACATATAACAAAAACAAACAAACCACCTAAACAGCAAATAAACCGGTAACCGTAAGTAAACAAAAATCTGACCCAGTGCAACTGAAAAACCCATACCAAACACTCCTTTGGTACCTGTTTCCCTGCCCTTTCCAACATGTCAATTGCATCCTGGAGCGCCAGAGAGAAGCACTCGATGATCAGGCTCGAATCAGCAGCTACGCCGGGGTGAATCACATATAGGTTGAGAGAGATCCCATGGACCCATAGCCCATGTAACTTGATTCTGGGTCGAACAAAGGCTGAGGCTTCTTTGCTGGACTGTATGACCCGGTTTCTCGGGAGTGCAAATTTCGACTGATCCATGCCATCCTTGGCAGACCCCGACATAAATTCTAGAGACCACATAAATGAGACAACCATCAAATGATTGGACAACCTCCAGTGTGCCCATGTCACAACCCAACCTACTACTGAATCTGATACCCAGCGGCCCAATGAAACGTCAAAGGGCTGGAATCGTCTTCCATTGGTGACTGGACCTCCCAAGCGGCATGTGGTGGGCCCCTGCATGGCAACAGTTGAGGGCTAAAAGAAGCAAATCCACCCATCATGTAGATTGAGATAAAACCCCGTCCTGGAACCATTCCTCTAACTCCCTGTCTTGAGTCACACATCGAAGGTGGTTCTTGTAAAACCTCGCCGTTTCAAATTTCTGTTGCGCATCCTTAGTCAAAATTGGTCTCAAACTAGTGTAACACTCATCATCAAATCTCATCAATCTTTTTGACATACCGTAAATTGAATCCAACAATGAGCCCAGATTCGAAGGCATTTTTAAACCTTTCTTTGCAGTCCAAGCAGGTATCACACGTACTGTGATCTGACTGTGGGGTGAAGCGAATGATATTGGTCCAGGTCGATCTAAAGCGTCTCCAAAATGTCCCATACCTAGGTTCCGAACCCTAAAAGCAGGTCTACTGTTACTGTTTTGTAGCAGGGCAGGATAAATAAAATTAATCAGTTCGAAACTTGAAACAAGATACGATATCCGAGGGTTCGTCAGGACAAATTCATGGTATAACATTTTGATCGATCCGGGAGGGAGCCATCTCGTTGGTAGATTAGCCACCTTCTGTGCAAACGCTGTCTCCACATACCTCTGGTTGAAACGGCAAAAAATATTAAACAACTAGCCAACGCTTCGAATCAACAACATCCTGCTATCCGCTACTAACAGATTCAGCTGAGGGATTCACTTCGTAAAAAACGAATTGCACCCATGGATGTGCAAACGCAATTCCTCGTCGTCCTCCAGCTGCTCTCCATCTAGGAAGGCCAGGTCAGGTGCTTCATCATCTGAACGACCTGATCGACTGGGTAGCAACAGTTGGGTACGTTTGATATCATGTCATGTCGTCACAAAATAAAGTGCCTGTGATATCCATTGTCTATCAGGAAAAACATACTTGGGTCGGAGCCAAACTTGTCACCCTGGTTCAAACTGTTTGTAGGCTTGATATTCATGATTCATAACGAGGGCATTGCATTTAAATTAGCCATGGTACTAGCTTCACTTTCAGATTCTTCACCCTTCACGCCAAACAAAACCTGCAGCTGTCTGGAATCCTCTTCACCTGACTTCCGTGGGCGGCCAGCTCTCTGAAACCTTAGATGGGAGGCGGTGACAATTATAATTAATGCATGTTCCATCCAAAACCATGAAACAAAAAATCCACTTGAGTTGAAGAACTTATTTGGAAGCATGCCGGCTGCATTCTGGTACAATTTGAGCAGATGGATGTCAATCCTTTTCCGCTTGACACTAGCTCGATGCTGTACCTTAGATGTTAGATTTTAACGGGCAACATGAATCAAATTCCGAAGTCTTACAGCTATACCAAACACATCCAAGAGCATTGCAAAATCAACCTGAACAAGAAAACAAGGTGCGGACCCGAAGCACCGGAAACGCATGTCAACACGACCCCTGCATGTACCAAGTAGGCGATCCATTCCAATCCCAAGGATCACTGTCAAGCATTTCACACTCACGTCCTTGTTCAAGAGCCTCCATTGCTTGGAGGTGGCATTCAAGCCAGCACCCCCAACACTATGGACCTCAGACTGGGAATACCAACGGACCCCAAATTTTGGATTGGACACTGGCCCACAACTGGTTGACATGAATCCCCCACAAAGGTTAACTAAGCATGAAACATATGCATCTTGAACTGGCTTGCGAAATGCCCAAAAGATGTTCAGAAATTTCATCAACTCACTCGCAGAGAACTGCTGGAAACAATTGCTCTTCCGATTGCACTGACACTTCTTTCCAGCAAGAAGATTCGAGACCCTTCGAGGGCATCGCCCATTGAGATCATGCCTTGGCTTTGCATACTAAGGGGACGTTGAATAACAAACTCAGGACAAAGGTAACACCTAGCATCAGCCAAGGAAAGTTGACTAAAAACAGTTACCTTTGAACAGACAGGTGGCTTTTTTTTCTCAGGCAGTGTGCCTGCCATGAATGCCCGCTTACGGTTATCGTAGTTTGGCCTTTTTCTAACCGGGGACTTTGGAGGATCTGCGATGGTCTTATGGATAAGATGTTCGTTCTGAAAAAGTAGGATGCTTTCCATCGAAAAGTTCAACACTGCAACCTGCTCTTCCTTCGGCTCCTCTCTCTCGGCACCAACCCCTGTGGCCACCAATTGCAGCGATGCATCACCTCTTGGAGGTTGATCTGAAACTGGAGCACTTTTGGGTTCATCAACACCTGGTCCTGTAGACAAAGACCGGAAGAACCTCATTGCAACAAGAATCAACAAACATCAACAAACTATCTTTTGTTTCCTCTCCGGCGCTGGTAAATTGAAAATATGTGTCATGTTTCCGTCTGGGGCCAGCAAACATGGACACCACATTAGGACCCACAACATTGATATCACAAGTAGCCAAATAGATCTCACCAAAGAGAACCTGAAACAGAAGGTAGAAGGCAGCAAATTCCCTGTAATTAGAATGCAACCTAGGAGCTGAATCCTTTTAGGATCCCTTCCCAAGGACCTTTGAGCCATCACGGCTACTGATTGCCGGCATATGTTTTCCACTGTCCCAGTCCTGAATGCAACGAAATGCATCCTGAATGCAACGAAATCCCCTTTTATGTTATTTATATTGTATCACAAAATTATACTATTATATTGATATATCCCAACGAAGGCCTCCGAAATGAACAGATCCAAGACTAAATTGGGATTTCTAGAGGAGTATTTAGCATTGGAAGGGATGAATCGTTTTAGATCACCAATCTAAATGGACAATGTGAATGTGATGGGTGCAGACAAAGTGAACTAACTGGCACATCCAAGTGAGTCCATAGCTCTAGTTTTGCCAGAGCCAAAAAGAGATTACATACAGCTATCTCTCTCTGTCTATATAATACCTTGTATGTACACACAAAGATATATCTATATGTACACACACATATATATATTTATATATCTATATACATATATATATGTTATTATTACATATGTTATATATATATATATGTTATATATATATATATGTTATATATATATATGTTATATATATATATATTATTTACATACATACATACATACATACATATATATATATATTATACACTGTTGTTATTTGTTCTTTTTTGTCGAACATCTATCAGTTACATCGCACCTGGGTGGAGATCCGCATGGGTCTGTGCGACTAAGGGTGCGCATCTCGGAACTCCTGTACCTCGAATTGGCCTTGCTGTGGCTTGGAGAATCGGCGGGTTGCAGATCTCAAAATCCATCTTCTCTGCAACTTGTAGGGGATGGAACAATGTAAGTAGTAAAGGTTTAGTTTTTTTCTTTGCGATACATTGTTTATGGGCTCAACTTCAGAAGTGGGATGACGATCCCAAGTGACGAGCGATTTTTCAGGAGGGTTGAATATCCACAAAGTTCAAGACGTATAATAAGTATAATGTGCCAGTTTCATTTGAGGTTATTGGTCGCGAGTGTTGCAAGTGTCGACTTTTCAGAAGCGTTTTCTCTTCCAGGCGGTGGAGTCAAATGGGTTTTCCTGTTTGGAATGATGGTCCCAGTTGACTTTCATAGGTGATAAACCATGGTAAACCCAATGCCAGACACCTACCAGGACCTACCATTTGGGGATGGTTCGCTCCAGTCTTGTCACGAAGTTTTGAGAGGCAAGTGGTGGCGACTACGAAGCCAAAGCAGGACAAACAGATGCTTCATGTGGCCCTGGGAGACCTGTGTCTTGGTTCATGTTTCATGACTGGAGCTATCAATACTTGGGATGATGAATGGATTTGACTGTCATATTTTGGGGATGGGTTAAAACCGGTTAAAACCGGTTAAAACCGGTTAAAACCATCAACCAGTTGATGTTTCTACGATTCACATACTTAGCCCATTGGGGTACCCCTAAATCTAACATTGAATCTACAATGGTTGTATCTTGAATAGGAAATTATCTTCTAAACCCAATTTTGGAGGTCCCATCTCAATTTTTTGGGTATAGTCCATGCAGAACAACTTAAGAAGTGGAAAGACTTCTGAAAGGATCCATCGTGTTCGATAGGAACTCGTTGTTTGGGTTTCTTTTCCACCTCCCTACATTGTCCCTACATGTAGCAGGAGAACCAAACGGCAAGACGCCATCAACAGCATTGTGGAGGGGTCAAACACTGGCACTCTAAGAGACGAAGTTGCGCAGTCCATGTGTCACCAATGAGCACACCACCATTGGAAGGACACTTCATCACAAGCACCAGGGACCACCCTAGTTGGGGCAGTTCCACTAATAAGTGGCTTCTTTAACCATAGTTCTAGGGGCCTCACGGCTTGTGGAGGCTATTCACATCTAGTTATAGCCATTTTTTTCAGCCCTGGCGCCTAGGCAGCTGGACTACCAGGTGCCAAACAACCCACTGCAGCACTGTGTCATTCTGGGGAACAGAGGTGCTTCGGGACGCCGCCTTGCACCTCGACGGCATAGCCGCATAGCACCGCTGTTGATCCGGTTGGGTGGCGGAGGTTGTAAAAAGAACCGAATGAGGCCAAGTGATTTTTATTGTTCAAACACCTCAAGCGGTTTGGTTTCAAAGTTGATGTTTTAAAAGTGTGTGGGAGGTACCTATTTGCCACCACGGATCCACTTGCCTAGCCTCCGTGGCACTAGCGCACTCAGGTGCCCTCGCAAAGAATCGTACATAACATCCCTTTTAAGGCCTTAAGATGACATTCCATGACATTCCCAAAGATGGTCACCAAAATCAATGGATCCAACACGAAACCAGGGTCTCAATTAGGAGGTATTTCAAAAATTAGGTGAAGGGGCTACCCCCAAAAAAGATCCAGCCTCGGAAGTCTGGTCTGGCCTTGATGGCACTGGGATAGCGAAAGTGGCTGGGGTATCCGATAGCTAGATATCCCTGAAGCACCGGTATAAGCATTGCATCAGATATTAAGCCGCAATGACCTCTAAGAAATGGCATCAAATAGCCATGTCCCAAAATAATTAGCATCCCAAAATGGAGGGTCAAGTAGTAACAAAGGTTTAATGTTCAATCTTGTGGGTGGATTTCTACCCCCATTTTGGAGCCACAAGTAGTACAGTAGCCGTTAAATCCCCATTGAAGAAACATGAACTAACATTCAATATCCATTTCTACTACGTAACTTAACCCCTATTAAACAACCTTCAACTCACCACGTCACTTTTCCCCTCAAATTAGACCATTGAATTGTAATTATTCCCATATTCCCATTACATTCCCATATTTCACACCATTAATCCGCTAAGTTGGTGGTCAAACATCGCCATTGTCATGGCCGACTCACTCACAATTTCAGCTTTCCAGTGGTTAATTCACATTATAATTTAACCATGATATTTTCTTTAAATCACTTGAACATATTTCATATTATTTCATCATGTTTCATCACATGTCCATGGTTCTACTAATATTCCTAGTATTCAACCCACCATTAACCACCATTAACCATCATTATCAGTTGGCTTTTCCACCAATGCCCCACCTGCCCGGGGAACCGTTCGTGGCTCCACCATGGCCCTGGCTCCGTGGCTCAGGCGAGGTCCGTGTTTCAGCTCCACGCGGAGCGCTGTCAGATCTCCTCGCCGGACGTGCACCTCTCGACGCTCTCCTTCCGCCTGGACGAGTTGGAGGCGGCTGCCGGAGGGGGATAAAGATCAGCTATATACCGTGTATATATATATAATTAATATGAAATTAATTGAAATTATATATATATACATATGAATATGTATAAATATATGTATATATATATACATATGTGTTTATAGATGTGTAGATGATAGACACAGATCATCTAAATTCATTAAAATCATACAGTTATGATTCTGATAATTATACATGATTATACAATATTATACATAAGTGATCATATATGTACATGTCCATGCATGTGTATATACATTATGTGTATGTGATTATATGCGTATTTAGGAGCTGGCAATTTTTTTCAAAAAGGACACCGGTCATCGATCTGTCAAGGTCTCAGTAGACGACACGCTGATAAGCACCATGCTGGGAGTGGCGGCCCGTGCCCCAGTGGTGCCATGCACCAAGCCGACTGGTGATGAACGTAGGGAATGCGGGAATGGCCCACGAACTATATTAACAATAATCCCATTCCCCCATTCCCATCCATTGCCTACGTTCAGCAGCAGAAAATTGGGGAAGTCATCAAGAGACGGTGACAAATCAGCCAACAAACATGAAGAATCATCAAGAATCAATGACAGAAAAAAATTTAAAAAAACGTCAAGCATGGTCAAGGATCAAGAAACTGATTCGAAATCAAACATCCACCCCAGCAGCCCCCTGCTGCCACTGATCTTACATACATTTCATTGCAAGACCCAGCCACAGCCTGTTTTCGGAGGACATTTTGATGCCAGCATCGTCCAGCAAAACGGCAGAACCTTGGCTTAGCAGGGTGGACAAGGTGGAAACCACATGATGAAAAAGGCACCGAAACGTGGATTTGTTTGGTTGAATATGATGTCATATTTAAGGGGCTTTACATATGCCATATGCCTTATTTACATGGACCTAAGATATGGTATACGGCACCTCCATTTTTGGTACCTGAAATCTTCAGAACCTGCGAATTTCTGTGTCAGGATGTTGAAAAGAGCTGAGTGAAACAAAACCATACAAGTCCTTGAAGCAATCCGTTGACTAGTGCCTTTGCAAACTTTGACTAGAGACTGTTGCCAGAAGCTGTCACCATGTTTCATCATCTCCTGAAGCTGATCCTGAAACTCCGCTTGGGACAGGTAGATAAAACAATAGAATAGACCATCCCAGATATCCCAGACTTGGTGCAACAGTTTCCTGAACACCAGTTAAACCCCAGATATCAATGTGACACTGAGACAACAAATAAAATATGTATGTACAAGGGCATGGCCCGGCTGAAAATAATCGACCCATATCAAGCAGTTTGGGATTGTTATCCTCTTGTAGTTTCACATCGCCATGGAACATCACCATCAAAAAGACAGCTAAATCCTCGAACTCGGCCATGTTCAATACTCAACTTCGTTCACTTACCAAAGGCTAACCACAATTTTCAACTAGGAACCCCCGTTTTTTTCGAGGACCATTTTCGGTCGCCAAAAAAAAATGACTCCTTTAGGCCGGCTTCCCTATGTCCTCTGTGGAGCGGGTCCGGGAGAAGGTGTCACTGAGGATGGTTGGAAACACAATAAAATTGGTGGATCTGGGGATGGTTAGAATGGCGGTTTGCCATGGTTTACCACATTTTTCAATACTCCCCGGGCGGGTTTTCCCTCAAGGCACCTTTTCTTAAACGTAGCGACAGCGATTATGGCAAGTGGCATGCCAGAGCAGCCCCGACGTTGTTCTCGAAACGACATCAATGCTGCACTAAATTGCTCTTTGTTGGTTGGAAACACTCAACAGGGTTGCCAAAAAAATAAATAACAATTTCAATTTGGATTGTCGTCGATGACTGTGTGGGATTGTATGAGTCAAAGTTGGGCACCCCCAGCAGTGGAAACATACCCATGGTGACCCATACCCAGGTTGTGGACGCATACTTGTTCCATGGTGTTCCATATGCCATATACAGTATCCTTTGTGATCAACTGACCCACTAGGGTATCTTGGGTGAGAATCCAGTGATGATTGAGTTGAATCATCATGTCAGGTTTCCATGAATAATTGCAAGCAACTAGGAACCTATCATTCAAGTCATTGTTTTTTTTTTGCGCTGCGGTGATCATTTTCCTAGTTGGTGATTTGGTGATTTGAATACATTGAAATTTGAATGATGATTTCCATCGGTTACACATGATTACACCATTCTTTCCAAATCAAAAACTATGGATCCGTCAGATTGGAATCTTCGGCCATCATTGGAACATTGGATCGAATGGATGGGAAGGGTTTGTGAACCAATGGATCGGTGGAAGGGAAAATCAACGTTTGAAACCATGGTTGAAACCATGCTTGTTCTTCGCAACTATAGGGTAAAACATGGTAAAACTAGAAATAATCCCTTCAACCAATTCTGGAACATTGCAGATCGCAACCAGCAATTTTAATCCCACATGTTTTTTCAGTTTTGCCATGTTTTTTCAGACATGCATAAGTAATTCCCCATACCATTAATGTTTTTAAGTTTTGCGTAGTAACCAGTAGGAACCAGATGTAGATCGCCATGATCCATGGACCCATCGCCAGGTGGGCCAGGCAATTCTGGAGCCTCGCAGCATACCAGCACCAGCGACTTGGATGACTTGGCACCTGGATTTGGTAGCTGGATGGTGGATGTCATGTTACATCCTATAATTTTAGATTTAGGTGGATTCCATTATGGTGGATTAGGATATCCCAATTTCCTAAAATGACTGGATGATTTAGGGGTAGCTCGATTTTAAGAAATCTCCATAGGATGTTCATATAATGTGGATAAAACAATGCCATAAACCGCCCATTTTGGGAAGGGCAAAGATATGTAAAGATACCATATTTATGGTGATGACTGGGGGATGGTTTATTAGATTGTTTTGCCCACATTATAGGGAACGCCAACTTCGGAAGCCCACTTTTTTGTTCTTCCTCTTTTGGTGTTCTTTCTCGCTGTATGTGAAGTGGTGGCGTGATGGGATCATTCCTTTGGTCCTAGATGATATGCCATCAAGTTTGGCACCAGATTGCACTGGGGGAGTCAAGTCTGTCGGGGCGTCTAAATGGTCAGGCCGATATTTATTGGGATACGAGCTAAGGACAAAGACTATGGAACATCACGGAACATCATGAAACCACTCAGCCGTACAAGAGATGTGACAAAAGCTCCCCCAAAGCAAAAGCAAAAGACCAAGTGATGCATCAAATGCTGCCTGCAGCCAAGTCTTTTCTTCATTGGTGCTTTTGAAGGGTACCTCAGCAATTCAATAGGCATCATCCTTATGGCCAAATATAGCTGATGATGTTTATTTGGAAAGTATAACTGCAAACTTCTATATACCGGCCTGGTCAGCCTGGTCTTGGGATTGGTGTAGTGTACTGCAACAATCGGAGGTTTCATGAAATGGTGCCTGAATCTGATGATCACCTATGACTTTCTGGAGCTTTTTGACATAAATCACACATTGCACAAATGGACTGAGGCGGCGATCTTCCAAATCGACGACTTGAGACTTGGCCATTTTTGAAGCCCAAGTTATGGGGATGTCCCTGGTGATTTTTGGCCAAGTCTTGGAACTTAAAAGATTGCGGGGTCGGTATTGGAACCCACGTAAACGAAGCATTTTACTACCTGGTAATTTAACATAGCTATGGAAAATCACAATTTTTCATGGGTAAATCAGTAAATCCACTATAAATGGCAATTTTCAATAGCTATGTTAGTTTACCAGAGGGTAATTCCCCTGACTTGCCTTGTCAGGGCTTGGCCATTCTTGCCGCCTTTTCACACCAGGATCATGTCAGCGATCAGCGTGAAAATCTGGGCCAGAATCCGGCTGAAACGAGTCGCTGGGCGATTTTCAGCGTGGGAGGATTCTTCCACAATCTTCCCAATGAGGAGTTAAGTGTCATTTTTGCATCTATAATTTGAATTAATTTGCCATTTATTCAGATTTGTGTCCCATTTTTTCTGAAAAAAGAGCTTGGAGCAGCACAACTTCTCCAGGATCGGATCCCGGTAGCTTCACGCCAGCGACTAAGGTGGCGTGCATGCTCCCCAGTTGGGCCATAGGCTTGGTAGGCCTGGAGATTAGATCCTCATGACAGGACAATCATGGCTATTGCCGAAAATCCTTTCCCCCTAGTACCAACCCCCCAAATAATGAACACCTGGAGCAATTAGTTTTCATTTTTTTTACTTGGGTATTTAGTATTATAAAAGGTCAATTTAGCTGATTCTTAGCTGAAGCATAAGGCTGCACCTGTGAAAGCTAGTTGGCCGATTCTTCGCCTCTTATTATTGATGGAGAAGTGGATCGGAAAAAAAAGCATCCCATTTAAATCCATTTAATCTACATCTAAAACCTCTTCTAAAAGCCTCCGATTTTCCAGCTATGTTTGATGACACCAGATTGGATTGACTACCTATTCCATTGTTATCCCATTATTATCCCATTATTATCCCATTATTATTCCATTCTGGTTGGTGGTTTGGAACATTGCTTTTATTTTTCAATATATTGGGAATTTCATGGAATTTCATCATCCCAACTGACTTTCACTCCATCATTTTTCAGAGGGGTAGGCGAAAAACCACCAACCAGATTATTAACCATCATTAACCATCATTAATCACTATTAATTAATCACCACTAACCACTATTAATCACTATTAAACACCATTAACCACCATTAACCACCATTAGCCACTATTAATCACCATTATACTCCGATCATTCCTGATGTTTCCCCATGTTTCCCCCCCATCTCCATGGATTCCGATGCAGATCCGCAGGCGCCTTGTCCCTTTCAGACTCCATGTCCATGGAGGGTGCCACCATCGCGCTGTCACTCGATAAGTCTGGAAGTCTCCAACAAAAAATGGATGGTTAATGGATGGTTATTGGTCAAAACCCTGGTGCCAGCTGGATGATATGGATGATATGGATGATATGGATGGTTATTCCCCCAGTCATATGGTAATTCTATGTAAATCCATTGGTTTTGACCCATCCCCATATACATACCATGGCCCTCAAAGATCATTTTGACTCTCGGAGATGGAATGTCCTTGATTCGCTCGATTGGTTGTGTGAAAAGCAGTGTGAAAAAGTGAAGGCGTTTGTCAGCACACATATGGAGCAGTTTTTACCGGCGCATGTTCCTAGGTTCACACACGCATACATGCATATATATATATATATATGCAATATATAACAATATCATCTTCAGATATGTGTGCAGAACCCCTTTTCTGAAGTTGCTTGTGTTCCTCTTGTAACTCTGATCTTTTGCGACACGCACGGATGTGTAAAAGCCGTTTCCAAACTTGAACCCCATTTATCCCAGTTGTTATATCCTCCATGCGGTTAACAAATATGGTGATTATTTAATTGACAGCCACCATATTGTTTACAAGAAATCATCTATAATGAATTTGGATGAAACATAACGCCATCACAATGACATCAGCATTTTTTGGATGGATCTACAAACGACCTTCTTCAGGCTGGTGATTCTTGTGAAAAAAGACAATCACACAGATCACTATGATATCCTTGATGTTGAAAGAGGCATACATTATCATACATTCCCATGTCCACTGTTTCTGCTAAAGGCTCATGTTCCCCAGCAGCGCCTTTCTTTGGCTACGGCACCGGGTCACGGCTGGAGGTCCCCGAAGTATTTGAAGCACCTGCATGGAAAGGTGGCAGATTTGGCCAGCGGCTTTGTACGCGAGTGGATGGGCAATATGCTGCTGGGCCGTGATTGACATGTTTTTCAACAAGAGATTCCTTTTTTAAAGCATGATGCAAGGCATCCGGGGTATGGTGTCCAAATTATATATTATATGTTTACACACACATATATATATATATATACATTAAAAACACATCAATCTTACAGATCTTCTCCAACATGTTCTTTGTGTTGTTTTTCACATATGTTCTTCATAGCTGCGAAGATGGCAATAACAACCCAGCATGTTTCATCATGTTTCACAATCTGGTCTACAATGAAATTAAACACTTGCGCAATCTTGCGCGTATATACTGTGTATATATATATGCAGTATATAATATATATGCACAGTATATACATATACATATATATATAAGATATGTGTGTGTGTGAAACGTCTGTATAGACGTAAAACTTCCATGGCATTGTTGAATCTGGTATTTTGGTATTATTTCAGTTTTCAAACAAGCAGGGGGATGGAGTGTGCCTCAGATGTCTCCATCCAACGAAGACGCATCTGTTGCACAGTGATATGGATTGGGGACGCTCAATCCACGTACCTGCTCAATATTTTTTCATTTTCGTCCATGGCCACCGGCTAAGCCAAGAACCGGCATGTCGTTTTATTCAACCTCAATTTATTCAACTTCAACCTTTTTACATCGTTTTACACGGTCGCCGCAATCTGATTGAGCTGCATCTGAACAATCCTTTGGGTTTATAATACACTATCGCCGACACATCGTCGCCGATGCATACTGGTTGGACTATCTTCGCCGACGACATCGCCGATGACATTACTTTTGGTTGATTAACTTCCCGATCCTTATTCTATTCTTTTTGAAGTCGATTCAGGGCATGGAGAACATTCAGGAGAACTTCCATTATTCGTAGGATGCATCGTTAATTTCATTGTTTCGTATCTAATCTGCATGTTTCAGGATTCAGTTCCTGCCGGATCATATAATGATCCATTCTTGTCTGAGTCTAGTGTGATTTCCATGGTGGCTCCGACATGGTGCCATGGAGCCATTTGAGGCAACCCTCTTCAGGGTGAGTGATGACAGTCCCGAATTCTGAATTTACACATTTTAACCTGGTAATTCGTTTAAGTAAAGTGAAACAATCGGCCTTACTGTTCTTCACCGTTTATGATGTCCCGCTGTTCCGGCTGTCCTTTGAAATCCTCTGGGCAAGCTCTTCTACTGTGTGATGCCGTTCGGAACACTCAGAAACTTCATTTCTTACCACTGCAGCTCGCGCTCTTGAAGATCAACATGACATGTGAGACAACAGGCAACAGGCATGTCCTTTTCCTGCAGGTGTGGTCTCTTTGGTTTCTGGTGAGGTGAAACATGTTGTGCACCTAATTCGCTGGAACTTGAAAGCCGTTTTATGCCAATTGGGGCAAGACCTGACCACGTGCCTGGAGTGGCTTAACGCACGACTTCTAGGTTTAGGAACTGAGTCCTGTCCGTGATAATTGCTTTTTATTTGACCAACTCTCACTCTATTTGAGCTATGTTCTCGTGGACTTCTCCTCTGACGTCATGGCCTACTCCACCACAGCCTACGACTACATCTTCAACGTGGCCTCCAAAACCACCATCTATCGCCTCTACTCCCAGACCACCTATGACATGGCCAACGACATCGCCATCTTCCCATCCAGCTCCTCACCCAGGATATCCTATTGACCCACATCAGTATTCAATCAGCCCAACTCATATGCCCGGGACCGCAACGACTCCGGTGGAACATTTGTTTGGACAACCTTCCACACTACATCCTTCGTGGGCTTCTACGACCTCATTACCATCGACTACCCACTCTACACCACCACCGGTTTGCAAAGCTTGACGTTTGGTGCTGTCTTTAACCAGAACCTGCAGGGCGTGAGAGTTCCATCCGGTTTGCTTGACGTTTGGTGCTGCCTTTAACTAGAACCTGGAGGACGTGACCTTTCCATCCGGTTTGCAAAGCTTGACGTTTGGTGCTGCCTTCAACCAGAACCTGGAGGGCGTGACCTTTCCATCCGGTTTGCACTTGACGTTTGGTGCTGACTTTAACCAGAACCTGGAGGACATGCCTTTCCATACGATTTGCAAAGCTTGACGGTTGGTGCTGCGTTTGACCAGACCCTGGAGGGCGTGACCTTTCCATCCAGTTTGCAAAGCTTGACGTTTGGTGCCGCCTTTAACCAGAACCTGGAGGACGTGACCTTTCCATCCGGTTTGCAAAGCTTGACGTTTGGTGCTGACTTTAACCAGAACCTTGAGGACGTGACCTTCCCAAAAAGTTTGACGTCTGGTGCTGCGTTTGACCAGAACCTGGAGGGCGTGACCTTGTCATCCAGTTTGCAAAGCTTGACGATGCTTGACGTTTGCTTTTGCCTTCGACCAGAACCTGAAGGGCGTGACCTTCCCATCCGGTTTGCAAAACTTGACGTTTGGTGCTGCCTTTAACCAGAACCTGGAGGACGTGACCTTTCCATCCTGTTTGCAAAGCTTGACGTTTTGTGCTGCGTTTGACCGGAACCTGGAGGGAGTGACCTTTTCATCCAGTTTGCAAAGCTTGGCGTTTGGTATTGGCTTTGACCAGACCCGGGAGGACGTGACTTTTCCATCCGATTTGCAAAGCTTGACGTTTGGTGCTGCCTTTAACCAGAACCTGGAGGGCGTGACCTTTCCATCCGGTTTGCAATGTTTGACGTTTGGTGCTGCCTTTAACCAGAACCTGGAAGACTTGACCTTTCCATCCGGTTTGAAAAGCTTGACGTTTGGTGCTGCCTTCAACCAGAACCCGGAGGGCGTAACCTTGCCATCCGGTTTGCAAAGTTTGACCTTTGGTGCTGACTTTAACAAGAACCTGGAGAGCGTGACCTTTCCATACAATTTGCAAAGCTCGACGTTTGATTCCGGTATGTCAATCTTTCATCCTTGATGCTCTTATTGATTTTACAAACAGTGGCCATGGCTGGGGCTAAGCTTAGTACCCCACATACATACATTTGCTGCTCAGTCGTTACTGTGTCTCAGTTTCACGTTTCACCTCAATGTCGATTTATCACTACCAGCAGGAAATGACAATGTTTCACTTGCATTTTTCCGGCGACATCCCAGCTTGTTCACCCTCAATTCGCTCCCGTTTACACTTTTGGAACTTGTCCGACATCGCGCGATGGCTTCTTCGTCTCCTACCACATCAATTCCGCTTCAAGAACCTGTTTTTCTTCAGTTTCTTCACGATGTACATCATGCATATCTTCTACTACACCGGGCAATGGCCTTACTACCACCAACACTTATTCCCAACATTGAACCGACACCTTTACCCAGCACCGAAGTATGGAACCAACCCGAAGGCCTCCGACCGGACTGTTCGGATTCTACCAATGCCTTTATTGATGCTGTATACTTTCCTCCACCTGACCTTGATGAAGAGGAAACCCTCATGGATGATTTGTTGCAGCACAATCTTCCAGAGCCACATCAACATGTTGCTGCCCCGCCACCAGATGCCCTTCCAGATCCTTCGAAGCTCTCCGCGACGGCATCGACACCTCCGAAACGCAAGCAGAAGGCCAAAGCAACTCCCAAAGCACCTGCAAAGCGCCGTCGCATTCAAGACCAGTCGTGATCCCGGTCTCCTAGCCCTTTGACCACTTGGACTGCAGAAGAAAAACAAAAACTTCGGACTTTGAAATCCAATGAGAGATCCCGGTTTTCATGGCGTGTGATTTCAACCAAGATGGGCAAAACCGAAACGGACGTTCGATCAATGTGGAACAAGCTCAAGGACACGCTTGGCTAATTATTTGCGGCTCGTTTCGATACGAAAAAAGGACTTGCCGCCAGAACGTTTCACAACCTCTGATATTATGTTGTGTTAGTCTCACCATCCCGTGGCGCGGCTGAATCATTTCACCAACTTGTCGTTGAGTTACACGTGTCTCACCTCCTGTTGCATCGATGACAAATCCGATTTAATAGCCGCTGCCAAGCCTATTCGCCGACATACATACATACATATTGATTTTTCATTTGCTGCCTCTTTACCGAGTTTGCAAACGGTGGTAATGGCTGGGGCTAAACCTAGTACCCCACATACATGTCAAATTTTCATTTGCTGCATCGTGAATCTCCCCTATGACCTTTCCGTCCGGTTTGCAAAACTTGACGTTTGGTGCTGCCTTTAACCAGAACCTGGAGGACGTGACCTTTCCATCCGGTTTGCAAAGCTTGACGTTTGGTGCTGACTTTAACCAGAACCTTGAGGACGTGACCTTCCCAAAAAGTTTGACGTCTGGTGCTGCGTTTGACCAGAACCTGGAGGGCGTGACCTTGTCATCCAGTTTGCAAAGCTTGACGTTTGCTTTTGCCTTTGACCAGAACCTGAAGGGCGTAACCTTCCCATCCGGTTTGCAAAGCTTGACGTTTGGTGCTGCGTTTGACCAGAACCTGGAGGGCGTAACCTTGCCATCCGGTTTGCAAAGTTTGACCTTTGGTGCTGCCTTTAACCAGAACCTGGAGGGCGTGACCTTTCCATCCTGTTTGCAAAGCTTGACGTTTGGTGCTGCGTTTGACCGGAACCTGGAGGGCGTGACCTTTTCATCCAGTTTGCAAAGCTTGACGTTTGGTACTGGCTTTGACCAGACCCGGGAGGACGTGACTTTTCCATCCGATTTGCAAAGCTTGACGTTTGGTGCTGCCTTTAACCAGAACCTGGAGGGCATGACCTTTCCATCCGGTTTGCAATGTTTGACGTTTGGTGCTGCCTTTAACCAGAACCTGGAGGACGTGACCTTTCCATCCGGTTTGCAAAGCTTGACGTTTGGTGCTGCCTTCAACCAGAACCTGGAGGGCGTAACCTTGCCATCCGGTTTGCAAAGTTTGACCTTTGGTGCTGACTTTAACCAGAACCTGGAGAGCGTGACCTTTCCATACAATTTGCAAAGCTTGACGTTTGATTCCGTTATTTCAACTTTTCATCCTTGATGCTCTTATTGATTT